TATTGTGCCGCCAAAAGTTAAGCCCACGTTTTTTTATGCGCATAGAAAAATGTTCATTTTTAGTGATATTTGAAAGCCAAAAAGCCAAAAATCTCCGTGGATATACAATTCATCCAAACCAAAACAGATACCGCCTAGTCTATTTCTTCACTTTCACTTTCATCACAGTGACATATTTCATACTCGTCCAATGGAGTTTGTACAAGTTTTTTCCACTGGTGTGCTAAACTTGTTAATTCATCTCTTAGTTTTTGAGTAGTTATTTCTGGTTCATATATGACCAATTTCTCACACAGTTTGTTAAAAATTGAAGCTTTCAAGCCTCAGATCACATGTAATTGTCGGCCAAGGTGAAGTCGACATTTCTTATTTTACTGCCCTAGGTTAATATATACTTTTTTTCATTTCTTTCCAAATTTTTTTCATTGATTTTTTTCGAATTTATTGCTCAAAATTTTTTCCAATTTTTGTTTTTCAATTTTTTTTTTCAATTTTTTTTTTCATATTTTTTTCAATTTTTTTTGAAATTTTTATTTCAAAAATATATTTCATCCTTCTACACCGCGGACCGGCCCAAAATGACCGCGGCCCATCGGGAAACCTCCCGAGTTCCCGCATAGCCAATCCGCCTCTGGCAGACAGTGTTGTTATCTTTTCTTAATTAAATAATTAGCCCAAAATTTATTAATCTTATGTCAGATATACCTACGATATTTGTGTAAACACTTTCCAAATTCTAGTTAGAAATAAAATAATGCAATAACTTTATTTACCAGAAAAATGCCAAGGTATATAAAAACACGAACATGTTAGCTTTATGTTAATATAATTAGATACAATAAATTGAAAGTCAGGGAAAACTAACGAACACTATTAAACAACCAATTTCTCTACATCCTGGATGACCCTGATTTCCGGTAAACTTTGTCACTGAATTGAATAGTGACGTCTTGCACCCTCATGTTGGGGGTAAGGAATTCTCGCAGGTTAGTGACTCCATCTCTTGCTTGCCTGTCGAACGGGTAACCCATAGACCGACGGTCGGGATACTTCTTGTCCTTGATACCGCAGAAGCTGTCAGCGTTCTTGCAAACTCCTGAAATGTCCTGGTCGATCTAAAGGAAAATCAAATAGGAATCGATTCTGATTCAATCGGCATTTTTTTGAAAAGTAAAGTGGTTGTTTTAATAAGATTTTCGAAAAGCTCCCTTTAAGAACGTTTCAGCTCCATACAAGCTTTATACAGAAAACCATAATTAACAATGGTAAAACTTAAAACAGCCAAATATTATTCGAACAGATTTAGTACCACAAGGATCAATTTTAAGACCACTTTCATTTTATTTTTTAGCATAATGACGTAGCGACGAAGTGATAAATCTTCAGAAAACATATTTTGGAACTAATGAAGGTTAAAAAATATATACAGGGCGATTCAGAACTTATCCAAAAAAATTTGGGAATAGATGCGGCATGAGAAATGGAGTCAATATTGTAAAAAAATTTGTTGTAAAATCCTTATAGTTTCCGAGAAAAAAAATATTGAAGTTATAGTACATTCAACGACTACATAGTTGGACAACTGTAGTCTCTAGCGTCATTCGCAATGCGCGTGGAGAGCCACGTGGCCTCAGCGACTCCGAATACTGAAATCGGATTTTGCAATCGTCGTTGCAATAGTATTTACCTGTTATCTGTTCAATCGGTTTTTTAGTAGTTAGTGTCAAAAATGGGTAGTTAGTGTCAAAAATGGTTTGCGTGTATAACAACTCGGAGTTCATGGATATCGTTTTAATTTATGGTGAAGTATTTGTGATATGGTGAAGCAAGACAACATTTGTGTTAGTTCGTAGAAACTGAGTAAGACGGACCTAAATATGTTTACACGTTGGTAGATAAAATTTTGAACAATTGTTGTAACATCGGGTATGTCAAATGATTTTATTATTTAAAAACACAAATTAATTGTATTAATCAATAAAGGCAAAAGCAGTTGAATTTGCCGATATAAAATAGGTGCGATAAAATTCTATTTACATATTTCTTTCCTTGCGAAAGTTTTTGTCCGTTTTTATCACACCGCCATGCCGGTCGCATTGTGCGAGGTCAGGTTTTACAGTGGACCAGTTTCCAGTGCCGTACAGAAGTGTATTTTTATATCATTTTCGAACTGCCCTTTTTGATTTTTTCTTTACAAAATTGTATTTGTAAGGGTCCCTTGTACATCCAGATTTTTTTTTTTGGAAAAGTTCTGAATCACTCTGTATTCATAAAAGACAGGAAAAGATAGTATATCTACATAAAAAAATCTCTTACTTTGTCGTCGTCGTAATTAGAGATCATCACGAACAACTGACAGGAAATGCCCTCTGGTGCTCCCTTGGGGATGAGCATGTGCTGGGGCCAACCGCAACCGCATAAATTGAACTGAGCTTGTGCATCGTCTCCAGTAGGCCTATTGGCGTCCAGGTTGCGGAATGTCCGTTCGAATGGGATCGTCACCGAAGACTGGGTGGATGTACGTTTGATATTGTTCTCCCCTTGATTCACTACAAAAATTGTTAATTAGTCGCAGTTATTAAGTAACTTCAACAAATGTTTGAGATGAGATGGCGCTTGATTAGGAACATGAAAAAAATAAACTTACAGTTGACCTTGAACTTGTCCAGCTCGATGAACATTAGCCTCTGCTCCTGGAACTTCCACGGGTTGCCGCGTTCGTCGAATTTTGGAGACAAGAAGATTCTGCAGGTGCCTTCCTTGACACCGCCACTCGTGTTGCTGACGACGATGTTGTAAGTGAACTCGACGTGCTGCAAGTGCGTGAACCTCACGAGGATGGAACCCCGGGGTTGGAAGTCGAGACCCCTGGACAGGTCAACGTCAGACTGCTGCCACAAGGTGTTCAGGATGTTCTTGCCTTGGCTGGATTCAATGCTAATGTGGTCCACTGTAATTCCGGGATTATTTAACTGAAAATGGAATGTATTGAATTAAAAAAGAAGAGTCCCAGCAAAAAGAAACACTGTTTTAATAGATTCTCGGAGAGATAGACAGGCATACAGAATTTGATAAAAAAAAATAACGTTTTGGGTATACAATGAGCATTCGAATAGGGTATAATGCCAATTGGATTGTAAAATGATGCCGTGAATTTCTAACTGGTTTCTAATCGGTTAATATTTTATTTATTTGAAAGATATTTTGTTATGTAAATGTCAAAATACACTGAATAAAATATTTCCACTATTGAGTTCTGAATAAGTCAGCATTTTACCCTTTCTTCTGGATATCTTGGTAAAGCGGATTTGTACTCCTGGAAAAGATCATCTATGTAGGCGTGCCATCTGTAGAAGACTGGGTCGCGCATTGCTGTAGCAGAATCACCAATAACACCAAAAGGTTCCTAAAAAAAATCATTCGTTTCTAAGCAATTTTTTTATAAAAAAAAAACAAGAGGAAACATTGCACTGCGTTTTAGAATATTATAGAGTATAAACATTTTTTTTTAATTTCAAATTCTCAGTGTTAAGGTTAAAGAAAAATTTGCTGGTTATTAAAGTATATTAAAATGAAATGTGTTGTTTCGCTGCTTCTGTTGCTCACCAGATGTCTGTGATCGGGATCGTGAATACAGGCAAAAAACATATGGCCCATGTTGTGTAAGTCACCATAAAAACCTCTATTTGGAGACAAGATGCTGGATTCGACCATGTTTCCAAGTATGTCGATACCTCCAAATTCATCCAGTTGCGTTTCACTTCCGTCAGCCTGTGAAAATTAAAGACACTGAATGTGTATAAAATCTAAAGAAAGTAGTAAGGACAAATAATTTACTATTAATTTTCACCATTTCCAATACTTACATTCCTTACTGCACCCCTGCCGATGGCCTCGAAAATTCTGTCTCTCCATCTCTCCATATCGTCGATGTCCAAAACGACTTGGTCTGCATCTCGTTTCAAATTGCTCAGTTTCTGATTAGCGGATCGAGCAGGCCAGGTTCTGCTCGCTACCGCACTGTCGAGTTTTGGGAAATAGGCTTCCTTGATTTCCTCTTTCCAGTTTATGAAGCGCTCCACACGTTTTAGCTTGTTGCATAGGCGTTCGAAATTGTATCTGAAAATGAACGTTATTTAATTGGTAAAAACATGAATTTTTGTAGTTTTAGTAGTTACCTTGCCACGATTTGCTGATGCATATAGTAGAAGAGTTCCCCTCTCCTATCCTTATCCACCACTTCCCTGGCTGCTTCGAAGGGATACACCAAGTGCCAATGCCAATGGTGAAGGTTGATACCCAAGTCTTCCCTGAAGTAAGCCAGACGATGTTCCTCTTCTAAATCTGAGGCTGTGAAGTCCTTGTCAATTAGAATTGGTGTCTGAACAGAGTACCATATATTTATTGGATGCATCAACCAACGTCAAAACAATATAGTGTAACAGAATGCCAAAAAGTAACAAATATATAAAGCAGATAAAGTGTTGACAGCTCACACTAAATTGAAATTTCCAATAAAACATTAAAGTATTAAAGTAACTTACTCTAGAGTCTTCTGGAACTACTGTAGCAATTTCTCTGGCGGCGTTGAACACCTTGGCATCGACAAATTTATCAGGGAAAGACTGGATAAAGGAAGGCAAGTCCAGATTTTGAGTGTCTGGCCTGTGCAGCAAGGCAACGGAGAGGGCGTAGTTGAACAGGTAGGGATTCACCCTGTCTCTGGCGTAGACAGAGACTGACAAAAGGTCATCGACGGTCTTCATGCCTAAGGGATAACGGAGAGAGAATAAATTAATCAAAATGTTTGTTTTAATCCTGCGGATATAGTCGGCACAAAAATCAAAGTAGTACCATCATCTCCATCTCCAAAGAGGTATCTAGAGATTTCCGTTTCGAGTTCTAACTTTAAAACTACCTTGTATATTTTGATAAAATTTTGGTGCAATGTATGTATTAAAATCTGTTTATTGCTAATTCAAGATATCCAAGAGTGAATCAGCAAGACATATTTTTGTTTCATTTCTTTTGATAAAATGGTCGAGACAATTTGCGTTTGAAACCACATTAAAAACAATTAGTACAAGGACAACAACCAGAGTTCAATTAGATACGAATTATTCCATGCATTGCGTTTTTTTAACTTTGCAAATCTAAAAACCATTGAAATAGCCTAAGAGGAATAAGTTAAAGGTTATATTTACTAGACAAGTGTTCAAACTGTGGTACCTATTTAGTGATCTAAAATAATAATCGATATGCCCTCCAAAGGGATAACGGAGAGAGAATAAATTAATCAAAATGTTTGTTTTAATCCTACAGATATAGTCGGCACAAAAATCAAAGTAATACCATCATCTCCATCTCCAAAGAGGTATCTAGAGATTTCCGTTTCGAGTTCTAACTTTAAAACTACCTTGTATATTTTGATAAAATGTTGGTGCAATGTATGCATTAAAATCTGTTTATTGCTAATTCAAGATATCCAAGAGTGAATCAGCAAGACATATTTTTGTTTCATTTCTTTTGATAAAATGGTCGAGACAATTTGCGTTTGAAACCACATTAAAAACAATTAGTACAAGGACAACAACCAGAGTTCAATTAGATACGAATTATTCCATGCATTGCGTTTTTTTAACTTTGCAAATCTAAAAACCATTGAAATAGCCTAAGAGGAATAAGTTAAAGGTTATATTTACTAGACAAGTGTTCAAACTGTGGTACCTATTTAGTGATCTAAAATAGTAATCGAAAACGGGATGCATTGTAAACTGTAAAAAAATAATAACAATAAATGGTCAAAACCTATAACTTGAAAACTCTTATAGACAGGGCGGTATCTGTTTTGGTTTGGGTGAATCGTATATCCACGGAGATTTTCGGCTTTTTGGCTTTCAAATATCACTAGAAATAAAAATTTTGTATGCGCATAAAAAAACATGGGCTTAACTTTTGGCGGTACATACATTAACATACATGTTAAAAACATTTAAAAAATGTCTTATTTTTCTTCCTATTTAATTATGCGTTCTTTCAAGAGTTGATTTTAGGCGAAAATGGAAGAGGCAAAAAATATTTGTAATTAATTTTTTTACAAAATATGACTAGTTACAAATCGAATGAATCATGATTAATATTGAAAAAATCGAAAAAGTCGCCAAAAATGGGGTTAAAAAAACATTACTTTTTTTGGGGTCTTTAAATTGGGTATAGGACCTTCATACTTGACTCAAGAAAACTTCATGTTATGTAGAATCGTCACACCAAATTTCATCAAAATCAGTTCGATAGATTTTGTACAATAATTTCGCAATCCAGATTTTGAAAAAAAATTTTACAAATTTTCAAAATATTGCACAGCAAAAACCAAGGCCCTTAGATACTTGAAAATTTATTCATATATAGAAGGGCTCTCAAGCTTTCAAACGCTTTTTGAAAAATTCGAATCCGTCAATTAGGAGAGCTCTGGCGCTTTTTTAAACATTGGTCGAATTTTTGCACTTATAAACAGAGTAAATTTAAAAAATTTTAATATCTCAGCTTCTAGAGCAGGGGTCGGCAAGTAATTTTAGGTGGAGTCCGGATACTTTTGAAAATTTTTAACTAGGTTCAGAAAAAAACTCATATTACTTACTAACTTTTTGCATTCACAAAATAATATGAAATACAATAGATAGGCATATTTGTATTCAAAAATCAATGGAAGAAATTACATTTGCGGTCTTGAGTCAGTTTTTTTTACTAAACTACTACCCATTAAAAAATGATAAGCGTGGTATTCAAACGTATTGTTGTCTACAGGAAAATATAGGTATTTTTAAATAATTTGAGTAATTATACTTTCAAAAAATTTTTGGCGGTCCAGTTTTTTACGTTTCGCGGTCCGGATCTGGACCGCGGTCCGACAGTTGCCGACCGCTGTTCTAGAAGTCCCATTTTGATGATTTTTTAAAATTGACGTCTGGCGATTAAAAAAAAACAATTAGCGCATTTTCAAATGCCTGTCGTTAATAATTATTGGTCTTTCAACAGTCCCATAATTATTTATCTTTAAACTTCCTTTAATTATCAACTTTATTTTTTTATTGTATCAAAGGTAAGTGCATAAACTTATATATTGTTTATCAAAGATCAAAAACAAATTTATTTAAANATTTTGATGAAATTTGGTGTGATGATTCTACATAACATGAAGTTTTCTTGAGCCAACTATGAAGGTCCTATACTCAATTTAAAGACCCCAAAAAAAGTAATGTTTTTTAACCCCATTTTTGGCGATTTTTTCGATTTTTTCAATAGGTAATAATCATGATTCATTCGATTTGTAACTAGCCATGTTTTGTAAAAAATTTAATTACAAAAATTTTTTTCCTCTTCTTTTTTCGCCTAAAATCAACTCTTGAAAAGATGCATAATTAAATAGGAAGAAAAATATGACATTTTTCCAATTTTTTTAACATATTGTGCCGCCAATAATTAAACCTAGGTTTTTTTATGCGCATAGAAAAATTTTCCTTTCTAGTGATATTTGAAAGACAAAAAGCCATAAATCTCCGTGGGCATACGATTAAAAAAATCTGAAAGACATGTCCAAAATCTGTTTTCACCTGAAGCTTCCTCTCTAAAATAATAATCGATATGCCCTCGAAAACGGGATATAATGGTACATTATAATTATTCTGGAATACCTAAGAAAATGTCTATTAGCCTGGCAGCTATTTGGCGATGTTTATGGATGAAGAGGGAGAAGTTCTCATCTCGGCGAAGCTTCATGACATCGTCCAGAGGAGGAATTGAAATCTGTTTGACTGCAATTTTTGGAATCTGGTCTTCTCCCTCGGATTGGCCAAAACGCGACATCACTACAGTTCCAACGGATTTGTATTTGTCGGGCTGTAATTATTATTAATTACTGAGCTGTTTTAATAATAACAGGTAACAGTGAACATACCAAGTAATCTAGAGGAACATCAAAGACGCACTTCTTGTCTCCTTTGGGCATAAAACAGGGTTCTTGGGGTCTGTCGAATAACAGCAGAAAATTGCTTTTGTCGGACATGATGAAATAGGTCCGTCAATTCCGTTACTCTAAAAATGATTATTAAATAAATGTGAATTCTCTCCAGCGCGGTTCTATTTCATTTTATAAAAGTTTAAATCATTAAAAGGCAATATTTCGAGTAAATAAACTCTATTGCCTTAAACAAACAAAAAAAAAATCTACGATCACATACCCCCAATGATGAATACAAACAGGGTCGCTGATGTGTATCGAAAAAGTGAATTATTCCCTAAAGTCAGATAGCTATCGAAAAATAATAAGACACAAACGTTTTTGTTTTTTTTTTAAATCTACTATAAGAAAAGTTAAGTACCTACACAGGATCAGTCAAAATGTCATGACGAAACAAAGGTGCTTTATAGGCCAAGAAATATAGAGTTGGACGCGACTTTTTGTTTCGGCAAGCTGAATTTATCACTATAGATGCTAAATATTATGTACAATAACATATTAGTTTCCACAGTCATAAAAATTGGGGGGAAGATTGTTTACAGGCTGGTTAATTGTATAATTTTTACGTAAATTTACGTTTTTCGCTTATAACTTTTTCCGTTTATTTCCACGAGAAAACAGTAAAGTACTTTTTTTCGCTTCATAAAACCTACAAGACTAGCCCGAACGTCAAAAAATATTGATTAGATTAAAAGTTATAAACAACAGAAGTTTATTTATGACTTTTGAATTAAACATCTATAAACTGCGTGCGTTATTATTACCAGAACGTTTTGGCATCGCATCCTCTCATTCTTTATCACTGTCTAATAACTCACACGAAATCTGGAATCGGTAAGTTGAATAGTTTACAAGTTATGGCCTTATAAACAAATTAACTAATTATTAGTCTGTGCAATCCCGAGCATCTTCCACAATCGCACTACTTTTTTTCATGGTAGATTTCATAATAATGCATTGAAATCTATCTTTTTTTTTTTAATTTCAAATTTGCAACCTGGAAAGTATTTTTATTTTTTAGCCTTAGTTGCAAAATGAAATATACGACGCACACGCGTGATATAGTTATATAGTATAAGATATTCGGAACACTCATGAAAACAGCTGTAGGTTAAAAAAAATCATCAAGATTCGTTTAAAAACAACGGAGTTACAGACTGTCAAATATACTATTTTCAAGCAAATTTCGCTTTTTTAACAGCAGGACTATGAATATTATCGTCATTTTCTTCGGACTCGCTGTCGTACGCTTCCCCGATCCTTCCACTGATTTTTAACAATATTTCTTATGCATTTAACATACTTCCACAAATAATATATTTTTGTCTGGGAAAGTACTCGGGTTGCCGGTTATGACAGTATTTTTTTTGCCGCTACCAACCTAAGTTGTTTAACAATATGCCGTCAACTTTGAGTCTGTAACTCCGTTGTTTTTCAACGAATCTTGACGATTTTTGTTTAACTTAAAGCTCTTTTCATAAGCTTTCCAAATATGTAATAATATATAACTATATCACGCGCGTGCGTCGTATATTTCATTTTGCAACTAAGATTAAAAAATAAAAAAAATTCCAGGTTGCAAATTTGAAATTTAAAAACAAATTTATAGATTTCAATGTATTATTATGAAATCTACCACGAAAAAAATCAGTGCGATTGTGGAAGATGCTCGGGATCGTTCAGACTAATAATTAGTTAATTTGTTTATAAGATTCAACTTACCGATTCCAGATTTCGTGTGAGTTATTATTAGACAGCGATAAGGAATGAGAGGATGCGATGCCAAAACGTTCTGATAATAATAAGGCAGTTTATAAATATTTAATGCAAAAATCATAAATAAACTTCTTCTGTTTATAACTTTTGATCTAATCAATATTTTTTGACGCTCGAGGGCTAGTTTTGAAGGTCTTTTGAAGACAAAAAAAAAGTACTTTACTGTTCTCGGAAAAAAAATTAAAAGCGAAAAACGCGAATTTACGTAAAAATTATACAATAACCAGCCTGTAAACAATCATCCCCCCAATTGTTATGGCTGTGGAAACTAATATGTTATTATAGATAATATTTAGCATCTATAGTGATAAATTCAGCTTGCCGAAATAAATGGTCATTTTCCAGCTCTTTTTCCTGGCCTATATGGGCTACAAGGCTACATGGCCCCAACTAGCATTAACTTGCATCCTCAATATCTAGTAAACAGCTAATTAGTAATTAATAATTTTCTAAAATCATATCTCCAAATATTGCTCATTGAAAACACATTAACTGACATAGAGAAATTGAATAATGTAATGTTTCAAATAAATATTTTTGTTGCTCTAACATCACGCTTGACAAAAATCAACAAGTAAAAATAGTCGAGTTAGAAAGATATCTTACTATTCCCACATTAATAGTTAGAATTTAGTTCATCAGGTGGCCTCCTTGCGAATGGAATTAATGAACATTAATAAAATAAAATTACATTATTTGCATACCTAGATTTTTGGTATTATTTGGCGTCATCTGATAGGATTTCTTTTTTTATTTATTTGAATTAGCTTAACATCTTTATTACTTTACTACTTTAATACATTCGCTTAGGTACTTATTACACTTTGATTCAGCTTTAGCTAAAGAAATTGACACAGTGGATTAACAAAACATTAAAAGCATATTATGGACTTTAGTGTAAGTATAATACATCTTTCTCACTATATTCAAATCCAGAATATTGCACTTATATGATATATGTACATATACGAGTGTAGCGTATAGTATAAACAATACAAAATTTAATATTACGCCAAAAATTACATTTGAAATATGCTAATCAGCAAGATGGAATCTAGGCGAATTAGCCAACAGAGCTTAATAAATATTAAAAAACCATTGACAATCAACTCGCATTAATTAAAAAAATACTATTTACTGAAGTAAGTACCCAAATGCATTTAGTAACACATTTAATCTACTCTATTTTTAATTTAAAATAAAGGTTTTGCAATAAAAATAATAAATATTACTTAAATAAGTATATAAGAAGAAACATACATATATAGGCATAATTTTGAATTAATTTGGCTAAAATAAAAAAATCTACTTACGAACAGAGCCAAACGTGTTAGTGTGGCTACTGGAAAAAAACTGAAAAATTAAGAATATCCGCTTTTATATAAATGAGAAGAGATTTGTGGTCGCAGGCTATCAGAAAAAAAGAAGAAGAAAGTGGTGAGAGAGAAATAAGCAATCCAGACATCATCCAATATCAAATAGACAGGAAGTAGTCTCTAAACCTCTGATATGGCGTTTTCTCTGGAAATTTAATATTAAATATTACTCTACAAAACAGGCTTTATTTAAATGTCCTTGAGTCAAATACACCTGCGGTTTCCTTTTGTATAACAGTAGTTCTGATAATTGTGAAATTAAAAAGATACGCAAAACCGGAGACGATGGGTGTAACAGGATTTCCCTTGTTAAAATGCCCCTTAAAAGTTAATCCATTTTTATATTATTTGCATTTTTGATCACTCATAATGTTATGCCACAACCTACTAACATTTTCCTCTATTTATTGGATATTTTGCCACCTGTACAAAAATATTGAATTAATGGAACAAATTTTTACGCCAAGAGGATCACTCTAGGGTTATTTTGATTAAACTATTTTTACTAAACCAACGATTCATATTGAAAAAATCAGCGTATTTGGATTGATTTTTCAAAAAATTAAATTCTTAATAGTAAAATGAAACAAATAAAAAATGTAATATAGTAATATGCAATCATCTTGTTCAAGAGTTTTTTAGAATACACTCAAAGTGTACCTACCTAATAAAAATTACACCAGCCTAATCTTTTGACGCAAAGTAATTATTATCGTTATTACAGAAAGATTATTTACTCTGGTATACATTAAATTTGCCTTCCCCCCTGGATTTCGGATTAACGGCGCTCATGACAGCATTGACAGCCAACTATTAATTTTAACTACTGCAGATTTAACTTTTGGTAAGTCTCAAACTTCATTTCGTTTTAAAATGGTGTGGTTTATAGAAATTACATAAAAGAGTCAAACACTAAAGATATACCTATTTAATTTTCCACCTCTTTTTTGGATTAATTAATAACACTGACAAAAATCAATATCAGTAATTAGTCCAAGTTAAAATTAGATAGCGATTATACTAAATGTACGAGTATCCAACTTTTTACTTTTTAAGCAAACTTTTTCTTTTCTCTTTGAGCTAATTAATCACAAAATTAATCCATGAATATAATTTGGAGAGTAGTAGGAGGATTATAAAACCCTTTTATTAAAATGGATGAAGATACTACGGAGTTATTAAAGAATATATATATTTTTTTTAATAAAACTAATTTAAATTATAAAATAATCTATTGGTCTAATTAATATATATCTATATAATATATACCACCAACTATTATTTTTAATTTCTAAACTTGAACTTTCATTTTAAATAATGCTGTAAATTATTTTAGAATCAGTTTATTTAAACGCTCATCAAAACAAATGCATTAGGGTTCTGCCTCAAAATAATTATAAAAATAAATGTTGGTTTTCCCAAATTCAAGTTTTTGATTATTACCACGACCCACCTTTATTTTCTAAATTAAGAATAGGTTTCTATGTCTCCTAAAATTCATAAAAAAATTGAGATATTAAGACTGCTCGAAATTTTTTATGTATCTATTAATTCTACATTTCTTAATAACTATTATGTAAGAATCCACGATATCTAGCGGCTTTCCAATTTTCCTATCTGCATCCGTAAGCCGATGATATCTGCACTTAATTATTTCTATTATCATATCTTTGACCCGGTTTTTGGTTTTGAGGTTCCACGATAATCACTAAGGAAAAAATAAATATTACTTCCCTGATATTTAAACAATATTAGAAATTAATTACATTAATAATAATTTGTTTGCACACTCTTCTCATTAAAACAAACAGAAAAACAAAGGTAAATTTTTTTTAAACAATTAATAACAGCCCTTTATGATTCTGACTCTTCAAAGATTAAAGACAAAAGATAGGATAGAAGAGGCAAGTTTGGTATTGACATCTAGATGCTCTAGATATGGCTTTTTGTCTTTTTATCTGTTACAATTATAAAAGAATAAAACACATCTTCTAGATCATCTAGATGTAGGTAAATACTGAACTTGCCTAATGTCATTTTTTTTATTAAAAGAGTTGTGTCATTCTCGCACGAACGCCACTGGTGCAAGTAGACATTCAGATCACAGTATACTAATCTGTGATTCAGATTTTCAGATCAACCCAACAAGTGCGCATTTACTTCTCCAATAGGCCAGGAAAAAAGCTGGGAAATGATCATTTCGCGACTTTTTGTTTCGGCAAGTTGAATTTATCACTATATAGATGCTAAATATTATGTATAATAACATATTAGTTTCCACAGGCATAAAAATGGGGGGGTGATTGTTTACAGGCTGGTTAATTGTATAATTTTTACGTAATCACGTTTTTCGCTTATAACTTTTTTCCGCTCATTTCTACGAGAAAACAGTAAAGTACTTTTTTTTCGTCTTCAAAAAACCTACAAAACTAGCCCACGAGCGTAAAAAAATATTGATTAGATCAAAAGTTATAAACAGAAGAAGTTTATTTATGACTTTTGAATTAAACATTTATAAACTGCGTGCGTTATTATTACTAGAACGTTTTGGCATCGCATTCTCTCATTCTTTATCACTGTCTAATAACTCACACGAAATCTGGAAGCGGTAAGTTAAATAGTTTACAAGTTATGGCCTTATAAACAAATTAACTAATTATTAGCCTGGACGATCCCGAGCATGTTCCACAATCGCACTGATTTTTTTCATGGTAGATTTCATAATAATACATTTAAATCTATAATTTTTTTTATTTCAAATTTGCAACCTGGGAAGTTTTTTATTTTTTAGCCTGAGTTGCAAAATGAAATATACGACGCACGCGTGTGATATAGTTATATATTATTACATATTCGGAAAGCTTATGAAAAAAGCTTTAAGTTAAAAAAAAATTGTCAAGATTCGTTGAAAAACAACCGAGTTACAGACTGTCAAAGTTGACGGCCTATTATTAAACAAATTAGATTGGTAGCGACAAAAAAAATACTCTCATAATTGGCAACCCGAGTACTTTCCTAGATAAAAGTATTTTATTTGTGAAAGTATTTTAAGTGCATAAGAAATATTGTCAAAAGTCAGTGGGTCGGTTGGTTTTTCGTCGAGTCGTGGCGCGGCGGAAGGATGGGGAAAGCGAACGACAGCGAGTCCGAAGAAAATGACGATAATATTCATAGTCCTGCCGTTAAAAAAGCGAAATTCGCTTGAAGATAATATACTTCACAGTCTGTAACTCCGTTATTTTTCAACGAATCTTGACGATTTTTTTTAATTTAAAGCTCTTTTCATAAGCTTTCCGAATATGTAATAATATATAACTATATCACGCGCGTGCGTCGTATATTTCACTTTGCAACTAAGGCTAAACAAAAAACTTCCCAGGTTGCAAATTTGAAATTAAAAAAAAAAATATAGATTTCAATGTATTATTATGAAATCTACCATGAAAAAAATCAGTGCGATTGTGGAAGATGCTCGGGATCGTCCAGACTAATAATTAGCTAATTTGTTTATAAGGCCATAACTTGTAAACTATTCAACTTACCGATTTCAGATTTCGTGTGAGTTATTAAACAGTGATAAGGAATGAGACGATGCGATGCCAAAACGTTCTGGTAATAATAAGCCAGTTTATAAATGTTTAATTAAAAAGTCATAAATGAACTTCTTCCATTTATAACTTTTGATCTAATTAATATTTTTTGACGCTCGAGGGCTAGTTTTGTACGTCTTTTGAAAACAAAGAAAAAAGTACTTTGCTGTTTTCTCGTGGAAATGAACGGAAAAAAGTTATAAGCGAAAAACGTGAATTTACGTAAAAATTATACAATTAACCACCCTGTCGCGTCCAACTCTATATTTCCTGGCCTACAAATCGTTTTTCAAATTTTGAGTCAATATCTTTAACTTTGAAATAATTAATAAAAATAAATTAAAAATTAAAATTTAAACACTTTGTATCTCGGAAAGGAAGTATATTTCAACCTACCTTTATATGAACTTTTTTCACAAAATAGCTTCGACAACCACCACCTAAAATATTTTGCACTTATGTACAAACACCCTGTATAGATATATGTCTCCTTAATAAACAAAATGGTAAATACAGGCAAGAGAGAAAAAGACGGCTAAAAAGAGAAATACTTTATTTTTAACAGTCTTATGTGAGAAAGTAATACAAGAGAAAATGAAAAAGCAACTGAACATGTTTATCCTTTATTACATGTTTTAAATTAAAAATTTACATTACAACTAATAAAATAGACACAGAACCCTGCTTTCTATCTTGACCGATATCCTTTTAGTCGATAAAATTTAAAGCTTTCAATGTACAGTATCATGATACATTTTTATATATAAAAAATCATTATAAATAAATTCTCGAAGAAACGGGACAACCATTTACAAAGTAATACTTTGGTCTCTGAATTTTTATCAAAAATCAAGCCTCTTTGTCCACAATCTCGATAAGCTCGTGTATCGTTCGATCCAGCAACTTCAAGTCGTCCAGAGGCCCGCTTCGTTTTTTTTTCTTCTGGTCGTTGTTGATACTGTCATCGCTGCAGGAGGTGCTCTGTGTCTCCGAGTCGCTGTCGCTTTTCACCTTCGCTTTCGAATTCGGTTCGGTTGGGGATTCTTGCATTTTCGACGAGCCCGCCTTCTCTTCGCCTTCCAAATCTTTACTTGTCTTACTTTCCTCCAGTTTGTCTGAAATAAAATATTTTACAAATAGATAATCTTTATCTTTACTGAAACAATTAATTGTCAATTTTATTACTACACGATTGACAACATAGCAAAAAGAAAAAATATATTTTTGAACTCAAATACCATTGAAACCATATGTTAATGTAAAATCTAGTAATTCAGAATATTATAAAATATGGTCTGAATTATAGAATAGAATACATATTCATGTCAAAATTTGAAAGGAATGCTTGTAATCTCTTATTTCACTTAATTACCTTTTATGAGTTGTCAATATGTCCAGAACATCGAATAAACGTTAACGTAACATTTTGAAATTAAAACACAAATTGGTTGTTATAAAAAAGTGAGATGACTGAGGATTTTGAAAAAAACATCATGGCTCTTCAATTTAAAAACTGTATTTTTAAAATAAAATAATGATTTGTCTATTTTCTTTTCATTTTTTATCTGTCATCTATGTATATTTAATAGTGTGTTTTATTTATTAACAATTTGTACTTTAGGTTTTCTGTTTTTTTTTAGATCGGTAGCAAACTAACTAATAACCGTGTTTTACTGGTACACAATAAATCTATTTAACTTATATTTAAATATTTTTAAATATAATTTCACTATTAAAAATTATAATTACTACTTATAACCACTGCCAATTTTAGTTTCGAAAATCACAAAATTCAAGGAAAACTACCCCAAACTGCCGACACTTGAAAAAACTTATTACAACCACAATTACCATAAAAATTTATGTCATTAATGCATTAAAATCAATATTAGACCTAATATACATCCTTGAGGTATTCCATATGTGTTGGATATTGTTTAGGATTGGGACAATATTATTTATATTAATAAATTATTTTCTACCAGACAAATATCATTTTAACTAAAGATATTGTGAGAAATAACTACTCTGTAGGCTATATCCAACACTGAAATACACCCTTAATTCCTAGATTTACTAGGAACTAAGATTATTCGTAAGCAAAATTACCATTATATTGGTAGGTTGCTCTCTGCCAGTAGGTTTAAAGTAATGCTTTATACTAGTATGCATTGAGCATTGAACTATGACATCTATTTTGTAGGTTATATCCTACCCACACACAAATACCATAATACAAGTTTTCTAATTTTATAAACACAATGTGACGATAAATTGTTTCTCTGTCTAAACCGACTTTCAATTTTCTTACTGTTAAGATTCTTTAATACAGGCAGTCCTTGCGTTATGTCGTTTTGAGTTGCTTCGAACAATATTTTAACGCCAGTCCTCAATCTAACGTCAATGGTTTCAAGATACGTCATGGGCTATTTGCCTTGTGCGGTCACCAATGCCATGAGTCACGAATATTTTTAAGGAACATTATCCAAATTATGAAGGAAATTGTTAATAACCATAGACAAAATAGACTGAACTGTAGAGGCAAGCCGGTGAAGTCAACTGTCAGCCTAACCTCAGCCCAGCCAGCCTCGTGCTCTCAGTCGCTGTTAGACATTCGCTGTGTTAACATTATTAGTATTTTATTAAATATATTGTTTTTATTTGTGCAATCATGGGACAGTGTATCGTTGACGATTGTAATAGCAGATCTGAAGCAGTGCTGAAATTTCACTCTTTAGGTAAGTAATAATACAAAAATATTTTATGGCATTTCGACAGCTTCGCGCAGCATTCTCCATCTCATGCACTTATTTCCAGTGTCGGCTTCATGTTTTTTAGTGCCCACCTTATTAACTGATGTAAATGTACAGGCTCATATTATCAATCGACTATTTACAATTAGTTTTTTGTCAGAATTGGTGTTTATTTTCATGATGGCTATTAAAAATAATTCTCTCCCAATACTTAGTGAATCAATACTTAGTGAACGTTTTAATGCTCACCACATAATTTTATAAAATTATCTTCACTAATAGTTTTTTATGAATATGAACAGTCCCAATCTTCAGATTTTTTTACGTCTCCTATCAGCCAATCTACCACGTCGCAATCATCATATTCTGACCTAAGTAGTACATCTTCGATGTCAACTTTGAATATTACGGATAATGAAAAGTATGAAGAGGATTATATAAACATTTTAGTGATGATACCCCAAGAAAGAAGAAATAAAATATGTATGAAGTTAGGCGGCTTTCCTTCATTTCCAAAAAACAAAAAAAAAGATAACCCGCAGAAGATAAACGTCGTTTAAAAAAGAAAAATGACAATTTAAGAATCAGAAAAAATAATATATTTCTTTAATAACTAAAAACAGTACACCCAAGCTACAGAAAAATAAAATTGTGTATCATGTATTAACACTTTTTGGATGTGAACATATTTTAAAATATGCATAAGAATTTGTGAGGACTGTATGCGAAAAGTACTATATCGATGTGAGAATAAATCATGAAGTTAAAATATGTAATTCAGTGAAATCTACTAAAAGACAAATATTAAATAAACTAACATTACTTAAAGGACAATTAAACGGCATATTTAAATTATTTTGTAGGTTTATTTAATATAAGCAAGGCATTAAAATATATTATTTTCTGAATTCTAAACTTGACAAATTAATATTTGTCATAAGTGTAAAAATATTGCTTAATCCGGACCTGTTCAAAGTATGCGCGATCAGATTACCTCGAACACTCCACTTCCCCGCAATTTGGCTTCATCGGTTCCCCTGCTTTGGGATAAGAAACATACATTCTAGGTCAGGAGTCGGCAAGAAATTTTAGGTGGGGTCCGGATACTTTTGAAAATATTAAATGAAGTCCAGAAAAAAAAATTCATATTTCTTACAAATTTTTTGTTTTAATTTGGACTCAAATTTAATCTGCTTACTAACCATTAAGAACTCAAATCAGTCACACAATTGTAAAATACTAGAAAAAATAATAAGGGTGGCATTCAAACGTAAAAAAACATTTTTTAAACAATTTATTTGAGTAATTTATACTTTCCAAAAAAATTTTGGCAGTCCAGTATTTTAACTTCCGTGGTCCGGAAGAATTGATATGTTTTTTTAGTTTTTATTGTAGTTCTTTCTATTTTTTCAATTATGCAATAAGTATGTACCAAATACATGGTTTGTTTTATAAATAAAGTATGAGGACTGCCTGTATATGTTTATAAACAATTAGTCCTGGAAGACCTTCAGTAGCAAGTGTTAATACGGCGATACTGCGTATTTAAATTTTAAATCTTACCTTTTCTCACATCCAATTTGTTAATTTCTAGTTCCACTTTATCCTGCAACTGCTTCAACGTATTCCGCAGCAACGGCGGGGGCACGGCCTCCGGACTGCTGTAAACCAAAATCAACGCCCTCAGGTCTCCCGCGAGACGCTTCGCCATCTTCACCACGTCGAAAGACCCGACCTGCTCGCTGAGAGAAACCACAGTGTTGTCGATCATCGTGAGAGTTTGTTCGGAGAGCACGTGAGCTGATACCTAAAATCACCCGGTTAATATAAGAAGGAAATCCGTCGATCGTCCTCACCTTCGGGAAGAATTCTGTTAGGAACTCATAAATAATATCGACAGTTAATGCAGATCTTTCGTCCAGAAGCACGGCATCCACGTAATCCACGAAATAATTGCACGCGGTGAGCATGTTGATGTACTTTCGATCGATGTGCTGCGCTTTCAGTATATCCAACCATAACTTGGGGAAGTAGGTGGAATGTAAGGGCACCGCCTCGAAACCGACCACCGCACTAAGATTTATCAGGACTTCCGGCACTGAATCGTTATTCACGGCAAGCCTGAACATCATATCTATAAAGTCATGGTACGGCGCGTAAAATTTGTCCAGTGCCAAGTCGTATTCCGGATCAACACCCTGAAAAAATCGTCGATTTCAATAAATTGTATTCGATTATTCATAAATACTTACTCTGCTACATTCCAACTGGTTGTGTGGCACAGTCATCTGAACCATAGGCCTAAGCGGTCTGGCCCCACCTTTGCCTGCGATGACTGGCAACGAATGACCGCGACGGGGGAAATACGGGCCTAAGGGTACGGCATCCTGACTGTCCTGGAAGGCAGAATGGCAGTGGGACAGCAACGGTACTAGGATCTGCATAGCCTCGGGCGTCATTATTACTATGAACTCCTTAAGTACGTCTGTAACACATCGTTTGAGGTTATGTTGTAGTTTACTGCATTTAGTAGGTAAGATAAAAAAATTTGATGATGTATGATGTGATAATAAGAGCAAAATCACACTGGCTTAGGAGTATGGTGCTATAATTTAGATATCACGAGTGCAGCGATTTAGATAGCACGAGTGTTATGATTTAGATAGCACGGGTGTTTAATTTAGATGGTACGAATGTTACGATTTAGAAGCAAGCGTGCTACGCTTTAGATAATGTGGGTGCACAATTTAGCAGACTATGTTTCTGTATTTTAAATTAGGTATGTACATTAGATTCAACCTTTTGTAAGTCAAATTTACTGTTTGCAAACGAAATTAGACCGTTTCTGAACTAAATTCAATTATAAGCACATTAAAATCATCCCGACTAAAATATAGTTTAGGTTAAGTTGGCTCATATTTTCCACTATTTGTTTCAATGCCCTTTTTTAATGATAAAAAAAATGACGGTAAAAAAATACCAATCATTGTTCTACAGGGTGGGCTACCAGTAACGCCTGGGTCGCTAGGGACCAAATAGCAAATGTTATAGAAACCTGTTTAGGTGGGCACGTGTAGGTTGATTACGGTTACATTTTAAAAATATATTGAAATGTACAGGGTGCCCAGGAAAAGCGTACCATATCAAAGTTATGTATTTTTAAATGGAACACCCTGTATTTTACTGCATTTTTGAAAGCACCGTAAAAAATTAGGTGAACTTTATTAAAGGCTCTGCATACCTAGGATTTATTGCTTGGGAGATATTTCAATTTTAGTGAAAATACAGGCTTAGCGTAGAAATTTAATATTGGCAATAAAAAAATAATTTTAATGAAGCAGCTTTGGAGAGTGAATTTTAAATCCTTGTAGTTATAAATTATTATATTTGTCGTCACTTAGTATTGTACAGGATGTTCAAAAAACTGCTATACACTTCTCTCAACTTTAAACAGCAATAACTTGGTTGTTTTAAATGGGACACCCAGTAAATTTTTACTTTGGAAGTTAGGAAATTTAAAACTCTTTCAAACTGTGTATAGGTACCCTATACGTATCTCTAATGGTATTGGAGATATTTATGCCGTTTCGTTTTTTATCAAATTTTTTTGTAAGATGTATCCACGTGTCTTCATCGAAGTCTTTATTGGATTGGCATTTAAAAATACGTAACTTTGATATGGTACGCTTTTCCTTGACACCCTGTTTCTATAACATTTGCCGTTTGGTCACCCTGTATACCATACATGAATACGTCTCATTAGAATAAAAGTAAATCATCAACTGAAATTATCTGAACAGTAAACTAAATAATGGCTTTTTTACCTCTATTAGAATTTGCACTGCTATTGCTGCTTTAAAAAATTCAGACAAACTGCTTATGTGCAGGCAATCCCAAGTAAGGTGGAAACAAAAAAAAACTTCTTTGTAGCAGCTGTTTTTTTATGTGTTAGTCTTTGTCGAAGGTGATAATAAGGAGCAAGAATACAGGATGATTCTTTGAATTGCATTATTTAATAATTTCAAAATATCAGGTATGTGTTTTTGTATTAATTATATTTATTGCACGTATACTTTTTAATTTTCAATACCAGGCAAAAAATCCATAGAGTAGTTATTTGTCGCAATATCAGCAGTAGAGAGTGTTGTTGGTGAGGTTAGATATCTTTTAAGCCTGTTTCTGACAATACAATTTGGGTGCAGCGACAAATTTGCGAGGATTTTGTTGCGGGGATAAAATTGTATGCTTATTATCACACAATAAAATATTTGAAAGTATCTTGTAAACTACAAATTATTACTTTTGAGTTTTGAGTCAAGCAAAACATTGCAATGGATGAAAATTTTAAAATAAATTGTTGTATCGCGAGACCAGTCTATTTCTGGGGTCATTATTCAATCCAAAAAGCTTAATAGGCTATTGACTATGTCAAAAAAAAGAGGGTACAACGGAACTACAACGTAACAGAAATTTTCTTGTTTGATATGTTCAATTGACCTTAAAAAATGATAAAACCGCGGAGTGGCTTTTAAAGGGGTGCGTTTTTGAGAACGAAGTAAAAAGGTGGTATTTTAAGTTTTTTGAGTTTTACTCGAAAACTATGCATTTTTTCACTATAGTTGTCAACAGAAAAGTTGTAGCAGATTGAATTTCCCATCGAAATGAGACCTTCTGATGTCAAAAAAATTATTTTTAACAAAAATATGCCCAAAAAACGAGTAAAAAAAAAACGAAAAAATGTGTTTTTTTTTTGGTTTTTGGCCCACAACTTTTTCTGAGAGGAGTTAGGTGTTTTTTCCTTTAAAAGAAGCATTTATAAAAGTACCTACGCCTAATAGAAACAGAGATACATTGGATCAATGTTCAATGACGATTTCTGTCTTGTAACTTTTTTCTGAGTTAATTTAATATGTAATGCCATATTCAAATGAAAGCTTGTTTCAAGACCTTTAAAATGGTGCCTGGTAGAAGTTTGTACAATTAAAACCAACTGAGATATGTCAATTTATCCAACAATACTTTTTCTTATTTTTATAAAATTTTTATTACTTTCGGTATTATTTTGTCTAATAAATTTATTTTTGTGAATGTTAAAGTTAAAATAAGTTTCTAGGTGATTGGATATTATTATTCATTTTGTTGCATGGAATAGAGCATGTTCTAACTCATGCAATTCAGTTGCTGCGACAGAATTACTCTGTCTGATAAGAAAAATTTCATGGATTTTATCACGGCAACCAAACCCCTGAAACTAAATTGTATTGTCAGATACAGGCTTTACATACTTAGATTTCTGATATCAAAAACTATTAAGAGGGCTCTATAGCAAATAGGCAACCAGCAATACATTTTTATAGATTTTATTACACAGTTTGTCTAAATATGAAATAACGCACAAATAACAGTTATTGCCCCATTTTAACGCGGATTTTCTCTATAAAATGGAGTTTGTTTGAAACACAAATTGCTTTTTGTTGTAAAGAAATTTGTAATTTGCTGCATTTGAACAAGCGGCATTGTAAATTACAAATTTCTTTACACCAAAAAGTAATTTGAATTTCAAATAAACTTCATTTTATAGAAAATCTGCGTTAGAATGGAGGAAAGTCTGTTATTTGTGCATTGATTCATGTTTAGACAAACTGTGCAATAAAATCTGTAAAAATGTATTGCTAGTTGCCTATTTGCTATAGAGCCCTCTTAACTTCATTTGATCAATTTTTTCAATTCGAATTAGCTTAATACCTTTGAAATAGAACAAACAAAAAATATGAGATCTAGTATAAAATATACGTTTTTTTAAGAGAAATGTAACCATTTTCGAACTAATTTCTGGATATTTTTGTGACATTTTTTTCCTTTGTAAGAAAGTGAAGTGTTGTGAAATGTTAAACCAATCTTTTAATCCCACCAGTACAAAAAAAAATTGATTTCGTAATGCACAAATAATAATTTTCAACTCGCACATCTTACCTATGCACAAAGACCTCATTTCGGGGGGATTGTAAGTATTTAGCAACGTCGCTAGTTTCCTTAAAACCTCGAGCCAATCCTTGGTCGCTAAAAGAATCCCACGGGCATCCTTGTTGTCCCTGTACATTCGAATGCACTGCATCAGATCCTGCATTATGGTAAGGATGTCGAGCATATCGCCGCAAACATGGCAAGCCGTGGCTTCGTGTAACATTACGTGCAGGTTTTGAAAACTCTGAAAGAGAAATTTATTAAACAGTGAAAGTTTTTATAAATTTAGATATACCTCGAACACGATTTGTAACCCTCCATTATATACTACGTACAACTTATCGTCGTTGGATTCTAGCAGGATTCTGAAGGCCGAAATTAATGTACCCCAACTCGTCCGACCGTCGAGACACTAAAAAATGTTTATCACGACAAGCGTTAAATTAAAAATATTAAAATCCATTTTTACCTGCAAATAAGTCATCAGAGTGGTCTTTCTGAAAGCGTAAATGTCACGTTGCTCCGATTCGGTCGCGTCGGGGTGTTTCATGACCATCAGCTGCATTAATTTGAACAATTCCTCTACCGCCTAAAATGTTTTAAGTGAAAACAGGTAAAAATTAAAGTACGCGAAATAAAGACCTGAGGATACTGTGTCGGGTGGGGCGTGATATTTTTGAAGGCCCACTGCAGATTCTGATGCAGCGAGAGGTTCCTAGTGAACACTCTCGACTGTTGGCACATCATCCTCAACAGACCGTAATAGGCGGGCAACATGGCACGATTGTACATTACTATTTCTTGATCATCGTGATCGGCACTAAAGAAAAGACATTATTAAAAGAACACAGCACAACATAATTTGATGTTGACACAAAATAAATAAATTAAATACTGACCCATCGCTATGAACTACATCTAGTAAACAACTGAAATGAAAACTACGATAGTGAATCGAATTCAACTCTATTAATAGGCCAAGCAAATAAAATTTTTACTCGAAAAAAGTCCTATCCGCGAGATTATTGTAAAATTGTCTAAAGGAACATAATACAAGACATCTCTCATCTCGTGAGTCAAAAAATTTTATTAGCTAACTTTTCTATTTAAACAAATAAGTGAGGAAAACAGTTTTTTCACTTTGCAGGGAAAACCATCAATTTTAGCGAAAAGTGACTCGTAGACAGCTTATAGGGAGTAAAATTATCTACAAAATGAGACTGGTTAAATTAAAATCGGTTAATAAACAAAAAAGTTATTGCAAAAAAACAAGAAAAGTGCCCATTTTTTAATTTGTTTATAACTATCGCATTTATTGTTAAAATTTTATAAAACCTATGACAAGTTGAGGGTTTTGTCATACTTTAAAAGTGTGCCAAAAGTGGGCGCTGTAGGTGCAATAGTTTTCGCACAATTCTATTTGTTTATAGCGGAGGCTCCAAAAGTTATGAACTTTAAGCCTCTGTACAGACGTTAATTTTCAATCAAACATGATTCTGAAAGCGTCATTGTAATCTTAAAGACGCAATTAAGCGACCTATTAAAAAATATCACCGTTTTTTTGACATTAACATTCTCAAATTGTGCATTAAAAAACCGTGCGTTTTTCGCTTATAAACAATTTGAATAACATTGTTGCTATTTATGCTATCTCACCGAAAATAGATGCAATGGATAGCTGGCAAAAAAATACAGTTTTAAAATAAAAAAAGTACCCTCTACGACCAACAGGAGCCAAGATAAGAATCTTTTTTTAAAAAATCGTAGCGCAATTGTTTATAAATATTAAGACTTGAATTTTTCGCAAAATAAAGTTTACGACGTAAACTACGATTTCCCGTGAATTGCATTGAAAAATGTGGAAAATTAACGACTCACGAGCCCTTTAAAGAGAAGGTACTCGCTAAGTAAACTGTCCGGCGTGATGATGGGGGAAGCTCGTCCAATCGAGTCGCGCGCGCGAAAAAAGTGAAATCCTATTCATCGTAGAAACTTTTTTTTTTTAAACTGGGGTAGCTCGACGAAAAAATAACAATGGGCATATTTACGAATTCGTAGAATAGCCCTGAACCCCAGAAAAAATGCATCTTTTATAATTAATTTTTTTTAATTTACAAAAATGTCACAAAAATTATTGTTAAACGAAATATTAATTAAAATTTCAATTTCGGAATTATTTTACTATTATTAAATAAATAAATGAAACTATGGCTCATTTAAAAAGTTTAATTTTTTTTACATATTAAGGCAAAGTAAATTTGTTTTTTCAATATTTTGTTTGCTATTTAATTACGATTTAAATGTAAAAATAAAGTAAAAATTCATAAATTATTTTCAAATTATTAATTCTCACAAAAATAGAAAAAATTTTAAATTTTAAATTGTTGTATTATATTGCATTATATCTATTATTGAAAATGGTTGTGATTAATATTTTTTGAATTAATTTTGATGTTGCAATTTTTTTTTTTAATTTATAATTAATATAATAAAAAAACTTTATATATTAAAATTTCAAGGAGTTAAAATTGTAATTTTATCGACCGCATTATTTTTATTAATATTTTTTAATTTTGAGAATTTTGCAATAAATTCAAATGCTTTTTATTCTTTTTTAAATCTTTTAACAATAAATAATAATTTGAAAATAATTTGTGAATTTTTACTTTAATTTTACATTTAAATCGTAATTAAATAGCTAACAAAATATTGAAAAAACAAGTTTACTTTGCCTTAATATGTAAAAAAAATAACTTTTTAAATGAACGATAGCTTCATTTATTTATTTAATAATAGTAAAATAATTCCGAAATTGAAATTTTAATTAATATTTCGTTTAACAATAATTTTTGTGACATTTTTGTAAATTAAAAAAAATTAAGTATAAAAGATGCATTTTTTCTGGGGTTCAGGGCTATTCTACGAATTCGTAAATATGCCCATTGTTATTTTTTCGTCGAGCTACCCCAGTTTAAAAAAAAAATAAGTTTCTACGATGAATAGAAGCCGAGATATAGCAAAATTTAGAGCGCGCACCTATTTAAACTTTGGATTTAACTTTTCTCGCCAGCGCTACCGCTTGGACGAGCTTCCCCCACCACCACGCCGCCGGCCGCCGGACAGTTTACTTAGCGAGTACCTTCTCTTTAAAGGGCTCGTGAGTCGTTAATTTTCCACATTTTTCAATGCAATTCACGGGAAATCGTAGTTTACGTCGTAAACTTTATTTTGCGAAAAATTCAAGTCTTAATATTTATAAACAATTGCGCTACGATTTTTTAAAAAAAAATTCTTATCTTGGCTCCTGTTGGTCGTAGAGGGTACTTTTTTTATTTTAAAACTGTATTTTTTTGCCAGCTATCCATTGCATCTATTTTCGGTGAGATAGCATAAATAGCAACAATGTTATTCAAATTGTTTATAAGCGAAAAACGCACGGTTTTTTAATGCACAATTTGAGAATGTTAATGTCAAAAAAACGGTGATATTTTTTAATAGGTCGCTTAATTACGTCTTTAAGATTACAATGACGCTTTCAGAATCATGTTTGGTTGAAAATTAACGCCTGTACAGAGGCTTAAAGTTCATAACGGAGGCTCCAAAAGTTATGAACAAATAGAATTGTGCGAAAACTATTGCACCTACAGCGCCCACTTTTGGCACACTTTTAAAGTATGACAAAACCCTCAACTTGTCATAGGTTTTATAAAATTTTAACAATAAATGCGATAGTTATAAACAAATTAAAAAATGGGCACTTTTCTTGTTTTTTTGCAATAACTTTTTTGTTTATTAACCGATTTTAATTTAACAAGTCTCATTTTGTAGATAATTTTTTTCCCTACAAGCTGTCTGTGAGTCACTTTTCGCTAAAATTGATGGTTTTCCCTGCAAAATGAAAAAACTGTTTTCCTTACTTATTTGTTTAAATAGAAAAGTTAGTTAATAAAAGTTTTTGACTCACGAGATGAGAGATGTCTTGTATTACGTTCCTTTAGACAATTTTACAATAATATCGCGGATAGGAATTTTTTCGAGTTTCTCTTTTATTTTCGCTAATTTTCCTGGTGTATAAACCCTCGATTCCTAAACTCTATTAATAACTTACAGAATGTAGTTGAAAGCGATATTCTTGGTTACGTGGGCATTCTGGAGCATCAGCTGGATATTTTCCGGGCAGTCGGTACAAACGTGATTCCAAAACGCGAGCAACGCTTGCTTGTTATGATATGCCGGTATCGAAGGTTCCGACAACTTCGGGTGGAACAAATGCCACAATTGTATAAAATACTGCCCAAACTAAAAAAAATACACAGATTAAAATATAAACACAGGTTTACACTTTCCGCACCATTAATTTTTCAGTCCTCGAAATGCAACAGTACATCAGCAAAGCGAAGTAAGTGGTCAGTTTCATAGTCCCGTGTTGCTGCATATCAGTGTAGTGCTTTGCGGCCGGAAGCAGTCTCAGCAGCGCCGTGTATATTTGATGTAGCACAGCCTGGGCCTCGACGGACAGCTGAGGTTCGCGATTCATCCGATGAGTTGCGCGAAAACCCTGCCTGAAAGGGCTGCTTGGAACTAAGGATACCAACAGGTATCCGGCAGCTGGAAAATTTTGAATTTAAGAGAAATGATAAAAAAGAAAATGCAATTTCTCACTGTTTCTGACCCTCTGGTTACTGTGACTTATCAGGAAGTGTTCTAGCCACGAATCCATCGAATTCAGCACCCAAGAATGGACCAATCTGTTCCTGGTCACTTGAAGTGCTAGCCAGTCCAGAGCGGAATACGGGCAGCATTCTGCGGCATCCCAAACTTTTTGTAAGACAAGCTGTGTGAAGCACGGCTGCGAGGACGATCCGCTTGATCCTTGGCTTGTGTTTTCAGTCAGCAACGTCAGAATTTTGAAGAACGGTTGGCATCCCTGTAATGGACAAACAGTTACAAAACTAAAGTATCGTAGAAAATACGCAAATAAAATCTAGAAATAATCGTTTAATAATTTTAAAGCCCATAAATACATAGTTTTTTTTTTACTTATTTTGTATTGGTTATACTGAAATTGTGAGAGAGCTAAAACCATTTAGTCGTACTGCAAAGATTCAAGATTTCTAAGAAAATAAAATCAGATGTAAAAGTAGACTTTTAACAGTAGTTTTAATCACTTTAATAAATTACAAATCTAAACTCTTACCAATATCTTTGAATAGGGCAAAGTCCACTACAAGCGAAACATTGTCAGATTAAATTCTTAAATTTCCCTATATTTTAAAATAATTTTTGTATTATTAAAATATACATTATTTAAAGAAAAAATTTGTAATACCTACTGAGGATTAGTATTAGTAAGACACACGGCAAGTTCTTGGCATTAAACGAATAATATTGTAGGCATAAATAATTTGCTACATCTATGTTAAATGCGTTTTACTATAAATACATTAAAAATATGTTGCTTATGCCCGAGTGTTTGTTATTTATATGCCAAATATACAAAAATTCTTTTAATAAAATATGTTTCGACTTGTTCATTTATTATTGTACTTTATGATTTTCCTAAATGAGTGGCAACGTTGCCAACCTGGCGACCCATGTGTTCTAGCTATCTTTTATTAACTCGTTTTATGGGCATAAATTTATCTTTGTTGCTGGCTCACTACCGGCAGTTCAGTGAAATCCTTTTAACGGCATGGTCGTCGGTGGATAAATTCGCGCGTATTTTTTATTGTTAGTTTTATTAATGGCCTATCTTTGTGGTGGTAAAGTGAAATAAATTATTCAACGATGGAAGGTGTGCCAGGACCGTCATCATCGACAGGTGCAAAAAGGGCTGGTCAACAGGCTTAAAAATATCATCTGCAAAAGGTCGCCATTTGATAATTACCCATATAGGAAATGAAGACGGATTTGTGTTAAATGGTGAATTAATATTTCAATCAAAGAAAAAAAGGAGATTATCATGAAGAGATGAATGCAGACGTGTACGAGAAGTGGTTTGGACAAATTATTGAAAATTTGGTCCCAAGATTCGTCCTCATTATGAATATTGCCTGTTATACAGTATGTCTCACTAAATTGGAACCACATGGTTCCAATTTAGTGAAACTTTATTATTATCATTAATTTTAGGAAAAAAAAGTTATTCTTCATAAAAAGTTCTGCATGTTCTAAAATCTAAAATACAATCATCAGATATTAAATTTTTTCAGTCGTATACACGGTTTGTCAAAAAATATGAATTTTACTCAAGAGTAAAGTACCTTTATATTTGACAATATCGAAAATTGTTATAAAGAAAAATTGATCAGAACAAAAAACTACCTGTAAATATGCAATATGCAATATGCATCCATTCACATTTAAAAAATATTTTTTTCTTTTTTTTGTCTACAATATCAATGCAAAAACTGTAGTTACATGTGATCTAGGATGCACTGATGAACAAATGATTTGTTGATAGCAAGAAATGTTTGACAATGAGTTTCAAAACGCGTTAGAATTTGTAAGACACATAAAAATGGTAGCGTTATTAACTTGTGAAGTGTACTGGAAGTATTAAAAATAATTAATTAATGGAAAACATTTAGAAACGAAAAGGCTATCATGTGTTTCATAATCACAAAAGATAAATGATCATTCACAATGGAAAGATTTGTAAAAAATAACAAAATCTAATTTTTTAATGTAAATAGATGTAATTGCAAATTTGAACGTAGTTTTTAGTTCTGATCAACCTTTCTTTATAACAATTTTCAATATTGTCAAATATAAAGGTACTTTACTCTTGAGTAAAATTCATATTTATTGACAAACCGCGTATACGTCTGAAAAAATTTAATATCTGATGATTGTATTTTAGATTTTCGAACATGCAGAACTTTTTATAAAGAATAACTTTTTCCCAAAATTAATAATAAAAAAGTTTTCCATATGGTTCCAACTTAGTGACACATAATGTATATAAAAAAATGGTAACGCACCATAAGTAATACATCATGAGTGGTGCGGAAACTTGTTTTTATTTATAATGTTCTCTAATAATGTCGATTAGTAGATTTTTAAAATATCCATCATATTAGAGGGTAATACTATTGTTCTTGACCCCTTCAAGGAAATCGTCCCGCATATGTTTCAGACCGATATTACTAAATTTGTTGGACTTTGCCCTATTCAAACATATTGGTTAGAGTATAGAAATAATTACATACCTCTGAATGCCTGGAGATGGCTTGAGATATCATACAAATAATAGCTTGCGCCAACTGATTATTCCCACGACACAGCGAGTGGATCAAATTCCTGGTTTGCTGCAAATTTATGTTATCTTTGATCTGTTGGTACAAAAACGCGAAACCCTTTCCCCCAGCCACTGCGTTATAATCTTTCTCGCTCAACTGCAACTTCATATTCGAGTCTCGACTTTTCTCGACCAGCGACGCCACCAGGGTAACCATTTTATCTAGAGAAGCGGGTTTGTACTTATCAGTTGGCAGTGCGACCACTTCCTCCTCTTCTTCCCCTTCACTGACGTCAACAAAATCGTTCACTTTCTGCCCCAAGTAAAAGTGCACCATCGTGTTAATCGCTCCGACGGCTAGTAAAAACTTGGATTCCTCCTCCCCCATCTTACTAAACTCGTACAGGAATCCGAAATACTCCGTAAGGTGTTTCAAGTGAGCTTTCGCCCCGTGCTCCATCAAGGAAAGCAATGTTTTGATAAATTTAGTAACGCACGAGGCGTTCCCTATTTTAGACGGGTCGATGGTTTTCTTCTCATCGCCGCCCGAATCCGGTCCGTCCCTGTCTACTTCTAAATATAAACTAGAATGCGACTGCTTCAGTCGCTGTATCACATGTATGCACAGCCTTTGAAACATCTGCCTGACCATCTGGTTAGGGCATTTAAGTAATACTTGCACCGGCCACCAGGTGTCCTGCGCCATGTGCTCCAGAAACCAGATGCACGCCTCCTGGCAGGCATTGAACTGTTTCGTCACCAACTCCACCCACTGCACCATGGTGGGCTTTTCCTTTGCGTGGATGAACGTTTCTATGAAAAACGACGTGGACAACTGGGTGGCCTTCTGAGTGACGTTCGGTTGAACCGGGAGGATGGTTTGCGGAATGTACCCGCATATCTGCCACATGAAATTGAAGTAAGTGTGCTCGAAAATGTTCTTGTCTTGGATAAAATGCATGTTATCCTGCCAAATCCAGTCTTCCAGTTCTTTGCTGAGCTCAATGGCCGCGATCGAAGTGGTTTGGGGGAGAGGAGAGGTATTTAGCACGTGCTCTCCGGATTCTAGAGTGGTGGAGGAACTTTCGGTGTTGTCGGTACTCACAAGTGGACAGCGTTCGTAGAAAAGCATATAAGCGCTGTTGGTTTTTTCGAAACTAAAGTCCATGAACTTGTCCGTAACGCTATCGTAGGTCTTGCTAGTCATTTCACCTCCAAAACATTCCGCAGCTATTTGATTCGGGTCAAAAGGCTTCACCTCGGCATCGTTGAACAGGAACCACTTATCTCTAGACCCGGCCGTTCTATCTTTTATGAAACTGTAGTAATGACCTCCGTCAGCTGTGCCCGTATGAACCGTAACTCCAATTAAATCGTATTCGAGCTGTTCACTTTCCGGGTCGTTTTTTTTTAACTTCTCTTCTTGATAATGCTGCGGCATAAGTTGTTTTTCAACATATCCGGCCATGTTCAATCTAAGAGGGAACGAGAAGTGAGTGTTAACCTTCTCCTTAAGCATGGTCAACATGTTAAAAGTATATCGCATCGTATTAAAACACAGAATCTGCGGTAACTTCTTGAAACAAGCCCTTTTCTCGGCCCTGACCTTCTTCCCGCACTGCGAACAAGTGTACATGTTGTCTCCCTCCAAAGTGTCCTTCACAGTAACCTCATCTAAGGATTCGTAAAGATTCCGCATGTCGGCGACCTGACAGCGCACCGTGTAAAATTCTTCTAAAGTACGACTAACGTGACCACAGTCTAACGAAACAACGTTGTTGCTTATCACACCGCAGAATAACTTCTTGATGACCTCCTTCAGGGTGGGGGTCATTTCTTCTAATTTACTAACTAAATCTATAAAAAACTCGGCCATGTCTTTCTGTTCGGCAGTGTTCAACGGCTGGTGATCCATGGTGTAAACTTTGCAGAAACTTCGGGGGTTGTACGCCTTCCTCTCGCTTTCTAACAAATAAGCAAACATTCTCTGTAATTCCTTCAGCGTTGGTTCATGTTTCGCATCAACAGTGTTTGCTGCCAGAATAGACGCCCTAGCTTGAGGCATCATGTACAAATGCTGCATACAAGAAGCCATGTAGCAGGTAGCACCTAGGTTTGTCAAGCCTACGTAGCCACATTCAGATCGACCATCTTCGTGAGGCCAATAGTCCCAAGGGTATGGTGAATTCGGTCCTGGCTGGTGCTGCCTCAACAACTTCTCATGCAACACTGCATAATTCTGCGGAGAACCTTTCACTAACTCGACGAGGAGATCAAATGCAGCCGTTCGAGATCTAGGAGACTTGCATTTGGGCACGTGTCTCAATTTTGGATTGGGCAGGGCGAACAAGAAATTAAACACCTCAACTAACAACTCCTGTCCCCCTTTTCCAGTCTGAAACGGTGGACGATGTTTCAATAAGTTTGTTAAAAGATTTAATAGACCAATTAAACCGTCGTCGTCTACAGTGCGATGTCTCTTTTCGAGGTAGTCTCTGGTTAGGACAGATTGGGCAATTTTGTTCGTTAGCCCGTTGATGTCCATCACACAGTTTTGGGGATCTTCGAGGCTTTCTTTCACCAATTCAGTGGGAAGACTGTCCACGAGTCTGGAAACGAGCCAGAAATAATCCCTACAAGCTGGCCCGTACGGTTCTTTGCCTTCCTCTGGTGCCTGCATAGCCTGTTGTTAATAAAAATGCCTTATGAAAACTAAAATATGTTTTACATTTACCAATTTTTTTATTCTATAAATTGTTTGAGGAATTGCTGAAAAAATTGTTGCATTTAGTTAAATTTACATGTTACAATAAATTACAATTTTTTTTTTTTTATGGTAGGTGTAGTATGTTACCAGTAAGTGTGCCAATTAAAAAAAAAAGGAAAATTAAGAGAAAATATTAACAAAAATAATACTTTGATGTTATCAGTTAATATAAAGCTTTCAAAAACTGTCACAGAATTTTGTATCACAGCTTCTGGACACCCTGTATACCGAATTGTGCCAAATCTACGACTAATTCCATGAACAATTTATTTTACTGGATAAAAAAAATGGTAAATATAAATAGGTATCAAATTTATGTAAACCTTTTCTAAAAAAATCTAAGTAAAAGTTCTTTTTATAGTTACACCAACCTCCATTTTTTGAGGGCGCATGCTCTCTGCTTTCTCCAAATATAAGAGCAATTGAGACAACATGGGTGCAACCAGAGTATTTTCCATTGGCTCCCCATTAGCCGATACCCCTAGACAAAGCCTGTATATCGCAGAACACACCTCTCGACGAACCGCTGGTTCCGGATCCTCTAAAACCTGAAAGAACCATAAGAATTACACGAAAAACCCCTTATGTTACCATAATTTACCAGTCGGCGTAGCCAGTCCGAGAAATTTGGAGACTGAAATAGTTCCAGCCTGGCCTCCTCTCGGCAATGCAACCAGGACACGAGCAAAGCCATCGCGTAATGAACCACCTGGGCCCGTCCCCAAAATCCCGTCTTGTAGTGGTTGGGATCCTTGGGCATGGAAGCCTCTTCTAAGATACTGGTTAGCTGTGGCATGGTAATCTTTACGTCTATAAGAGCCAGCATCGGTTCGTTGAGGTTAGGAATCATAATTTTCTCGTTTCGGGAGGGTCGCGATTCTTGCGGCAACGGTTCTACGCCGAGGTGACAGAGGATTTTTAAAAGGGACGCCAAACAGTCTTGTTGCCAATCGCTACCATCTCCGCCGTCTCTTTGTAGGACTCCTACGACATTTATATATTTACAAGTTTGGAGTTATATTTTGTTTAGTAATAGTCAGTCTGCTTGTACCAGAAAATAAAGAACGACTAGAAGTGAAAGAGACGGCTTTCGCTAAAAGATTTTACAAGTAGTTTACTAATTAAGTAATTAAGTATCATGATGTAATAACCTGACAGTTTTTAATAAAATATGTAATTTAAGGACACTCAATTAGGCTACTAATTATGTCATATGGTGTGGAACTACAATGTTGCTGGGTTTTTATTGTATGAATCGTTCATTTGAAAATTTAGAATGAAAGAACCGCGGAGTGTTATTAAATTAGAGGGTGGAAATTGGAGATAGGGGCAAAAATGCACCCCTATCAGTGTTTTAATTGTAGCTCGAAAACGAAGCAAAATTTCGCAATAGTTCATAGGAAAAATTATTTAGAGAATTGAATTTCCCAACGAAATAGCTTATTTAAAAAATTTAAAAGGAAAATTTTTTGCAAAAAATCGTTAATAAACAATTTGAAAGAAAGCAAAAAATATGATTTTTTGATTTTTTTTTTACTTTTTTAATAAAAAAATTGAGTAAAAACTTGAGAATTTAAGTACAATAAAGTTTATCAATAATGTATATACAGTGTGTCCACGCATGGAGTTGACAAGAGAAGAAAGAAACTCTTTTGTTTTTGACTGTATCGAAAAATGTCACTATTTATAAAAAGTTCTGCCCCTCAAAAAATGAGACTGTCATACAAACATCTTAGATTAGACATACAGGGTGCTCATAAATTAAAAAAAAACACGAAAATACTCAAGAGAGAAGTACCATTATTTATTTTGTATTAAAACATTATTTGAGGTTATAAACAGATTTGTTATATAAAAATGTTGTGTAAATAGTTTTAATACAAATTTTAAAATCAAAATTTAAATTTTTGAGGTGAGGAAGTAGCTATACATATAGAGTAAAAGTCAGAATTGAAATTTTTATTTTAAAATTTGTATTAGGATATTATTTGAGGTTATAAACAGATTTGTTTTATAAAAATGTTGTGTAAAATAATAATGGTACTTCTCTTGTGAGTATTTTCGTGTTTTTTTTAATTTATGAGCACCCTGTATATCTAATCTAAGATATTTGTATGACAGTCTGATTTTTTGAGGGGCAGAACGTTTTATAAAGAGCGACATTTTTCGATACAGTCAAAAACAAAAGAGTTTCTTCTCTTGTCAACTCCATCCGTGGACACACTGTATATACATTATTAATNTAAAAAATATCACGGTTTTTTTGACATTAATATTCTCAAATTGTGCATTAAAAAACCGTGCCTTTTTTCGCTTATAAACAATCTGAATAAAATTGTTGCTATTTATGCTACCTCACCGAAAATAGATTCAATGGAGAGCTGGCAAAAAAATACAAATTAAAAAAAAAGCACCCTCTACGACCAACAGGAGCCAAGATAAGAATTTTTTTTTAATCGTAGTGCAATTGTTTATAAACATGAAGACTAATTTTTCGCAAAATAAAGTTTATGACGTAAACTACGATTTCCCGGAAATTGCATTGAAAAATGTGGAAAATTAATGACTCACAAGCCCTTTAAAGAGAAAGTACTTGCTAAGTAAACTGTCTGGCATGGTGATGGGGGAAGCTCGTCCAAGCGAGTCGCGTGCGCGTGAAAAGTAAAATCCAAAGTTCAAATTGATGCGCGCTGTAAAATTTTGCAATATCTCGGATTCTATTCATCGTAGAAACTTCTTTTTTTTTAAACTGGGGTAGCTCGACGAAAAAATAACAATNTCCCCATTAGCCGATACCCCTAGACAAAGCCTGTATATCGCAGAACACACCTCTCGACGAACCGCTGGTTCCGGATCCTCTAAAACCTGAAAGAACCATAAGAATTACACGAAAAACCCCTTATGTTACCATAATTTACCAGTCGGCGTAGCCAGTCCGAGAAATTTGGAGACTGAAATAGTTCCAGCCTGGCCTCCTCTCGGCAATGCAACCAGGACACGAGCAAAGCCATCGCGTAATGAACCACCTGGGCACGTCCCCAAAATCCCGTCTTGTAGTGGTTGGGATCCTTGGGCATGGAAGCCTCTTCTAAGATACTGGTTAGCTGTGGCATGGTAATCTTTACGTCTATAAGAGCCAGCATCGGTTCGTTGAGGTTAGGAATCATAATTTTCTCGTTTCGGGAGGGTCGCGATTCTTGCGGCAACGGTTCTACGCCGAGGTGACAGAGGATTTTTAAAAGGGACGCCAAACAGTCTTGTTGCCAATCGCTACCATCTCCGCCGTCTCTTTGTAGGACTCCTATGACATTTATATATTTACAAGTTTGGAGCTATATTTTGTTTAGTATTAGTCAGTCTGCTTGTACCAGAAAATAAAGAACGACTAGAAGTGAAAGAGACGGCTTTCGCTAAAAGATTTTACAAGTAGTTTACTAATTAAGTAATTAAGTATCATGATGTAATAACCTGACAGTTTTTAATAAAATATGTAATTTAAGGACACTCAATTAGGCTATTAATTATGTCATATGGTGTGGAACTACAATGTTGCTGGGTTTTTATTGTATGAATCGTTCATTTGAAAATTTAGAATGAAAGAACCGCGGAGTGTTATTAAATTAGAGGGTGGAAATTGGAGATAGGGGCAAAAATGCACCCCTATCAGTGTTTTAATTGTAGCTCGAAAACGAAGCAAAATTTCGCAATAGTTCATAGGAAAAATTATTTAGAGAATTGAATTTCCCAACGAAATAGCTTATTTAAAAAATTTAAAAGGAAAATTTTTTGCAAAAAATCGTTAATAAACAATTTGAAAGAAAGCAAAAAATATGATTTTTTGATTTTTTTTTTACTTTTTTAATAAAAAAATTGAGTAAAAACTTGAGAATTTAAGTACAATAAAGTTTATCAATAATGTATATACAGTGTGTCCACGCATGGAGTTGACAAGAGAAGAAAGAAACTCTTTTGTTTTTGACTGTATCGAAAAATGTCACTATTTATAAAAAGTTCTGCCCCTCAAAAAATGAGACTGTCATACAAACATCTTAGATTAGATATACAGGGTGCTCATAAATTAAAAAAAAACACGAAAATACTCAAGAGAGAAGTACCATTATTTATTTTGTATTAAAACATTATTTGAGGTTATAAACAGATTTGTTATATAAAAATGTTGTGTAAATAGTTTTAATACAAATTTTAAAATCAAAATTTAAATTTTTGAGGTGAGGAAGTAGCTATACATATAGAGTAAAAGTCAGAATTGAAATTTTTATTTTAAAATTTGTATTAGGATATTATTTGAGGTTATAAACAGATTTGTTTTATAAAAATGTTGTGTAAAATAATAATGGTACTTCTCTTGTGAGTATTTTCGTGTTTTTTTTAATTTATGAGCACCCTGTATATCTAATCTAAGATATTTGTATGACAGTCTGATTTTTTGAGGGGCAGAACGTTTTATAAAGAGCGACATTTTTCGATACAGTCAAAAACAAAAGAGTTTCTTCTCTTGTCAACTCCATCCGTGGACACACTGTATATACATTATTAATAAACTTTATTGTACTTAAATTCTCGTTTTTACTAAAAAATTAAAAAAGTAAAAAAAATCAAATTTTCATCATCTTATGTTTTGCTTCCTTTACGTTTATTAAAGATTTTTTGCATAAAATTTTTCTTATGAACTATACCGAAATTTTGCTTCGTTTCCGTGCTATATTTAAAAAACTGCAAAAGTGTATTTTCACCCCTATCTTCAATTTCAACCCTCTAATTTTGTACAAAATTGCTACTATTAAAAAATTTCAATTTTCCCAATAGTTTTCCTGTATATTTTTTAAATGAAGTACAGACTATGTGAAAATTGATTAAATGGACAGAGACAGAACATAGGAAATACTGGACTTCAAGGCCAGGACATAGCCATTCTAAGGAGCTTATGGAGTATCCTTCGAAGGGAAGAGCGAATGAGCTACTGAGCTTGAATAGAATCCGGCTCAGGAGAGTGACAGGACTCATAACGGGACACTGTCACTTTAGGAAACATCTACATAAGCTAAAGCTTGTAGACAGTCCGGTCTGCCGAGGATGTGAATCAGCGGATGAAACTTCTCTGCATATCCTGGGCGAGTGCCCGGGATTTGCACGTAGCAGAATGACGCTCCTTGGGAGACCCTATTTGGAACCCAAGGAATTGAGAGAAGTGTCAGCAAGGAAGCTTTTGGACTTTGTAAAAAGGACAAATCTACTTGCTGAATAGGACTAGTAGTGGGACGCACAATAGACCTAATTAGGCCGCAGTGCTATGGGACTTTTTTTTTAAAGGACCAACCACTAGATGAAGATGAAGATGAAGAATGTGAAAATTAATGTTTCGGAAAATCATATATAGTTTTCCAAATAGTTTTTTGAATATTCACGAGCATCAAACATATTATTTTATAGATTTTCAAGGGTGTACATTACGAATTAAGCACTTTTTAATATATTTCAGAAAAATCTGTTTTCTCTTAAATTTTTTGCGACAGCATAAAAAATTGTTAAAAGTAATAAATAAAAAAAATTATAATACAATTTTTTTTATTATATCTGCAGCTCCAGAAAATTCCTGTCCTATTGTCATCAAATTTAAATTTTTGAATTTCATTATACAAATTTATATTTTTTAATAATCAAAGTAAAAAAAGAATTCAAAAAGATTTTTTTGGAAAATATTAAAATGAGCATAAATAATTCATAATGTATACCCTCGAAAACCTATAAAATGATATTCATAAATATTCAAAAAACTATTTGAAAAACTATATAAGATCTTCCAACAATTTTCAGCAATTTTCTGTTCTCTAATTCACTTTTGTTATTTAAAAATGAATTGACCATTATTTTGGCTCCAAAACGATAATTTTCACATAATCTGTACTTCATTTTAAAAATATTCGAGAAAACTATTGGGAAAATCGAAATTTTTCATAGAAACAATTGTGTAGAAAATTTAATCTATTTGAAACTTTTTTTTCGAAAAAATACGCGAAAAATCATATACAGGTTCGGAAAGTCCCCATGGTACATCGGTCATTACGTGAGAGCGATAAAGTAAGTCATAGAAATCCGTGCGATAGACAAGGATGGTTACAATGAAGACATTTCATAATCTGAATAGTCACTCCCAGTTTTAACCCGAAACGGGCGGTGACTAGTAGATTATGAAACATCTTCACTATAGCCATCCTTGTCTATCGCATGGATTTCTTTACTTTACTTTGTCGCTCTCATGTAAAGGCAGATGGACCATGTGGATTTTCCAGCCCTGTATATATTTCAATACGCTGTATATTGCTGGTGACACATGTTTTCTAACCTCAAAACCTACACTTTTCTATAAAAAAAAAACTCACCAGTAAAAAAGTTTTCTCATTTTTTCCTTATTTTCCTGAACTACCACAGGAAACAAGCTTGTTGTTAAAAAAATGTAATAATCTGATTACATTACACTACAAACTCGCACAAGAAATAATGAAAAACGTGTTTCTACAAAAAAACACCGAAATGCTATTCATGTTTGTTGTAGCAAAAACCAGTCGATATGAAGTTTGTTAATTAAAATATTTTGGTTTGCTCTGAAAGCCTTGAGCTAATAAACGTAACTCTGCAAACTGTTTAAATATGACACAATAGCGTTGATCGATAAGAGAATTGGATATAGAAAGTTAAAAAAACTTTTGGAATAACACTAAGGGCAATTACGGGACGAAAACTGTTAATAGCCTACTTTAAAGAATAGAAAACATAACATCAATGGATCTCACAAACTCACCCGACATAAAAATGTCAAATAAGTGACGCAAGCCTCCGTGTTGAACAAATTTCCTCACCCAAGGCTCCTCCTCGTCTTCCTCCGGGTACTTGCTGGGACACGTTTTAACACTGAGAGACTCGACGATGTACAGGGAGTACATCAGTTTTTGGGCACTAGAAGGATCTAACAGTTCCGACAGAGGTATATCTAGGTGTTTGAAGCCTTGCAGCAGTTTAGGACTGGTAGGCATCAAACTTAAGATATCCCACACCCTCCTGCTAAGAACTTGAGCTTTCGTGTGAGGCAGTTCACGCTAAAAAAATTATAAACATAGATTTTGAACGCTTCGCTTCCCGTAAATTTCCACTGCTCAGCAATAGCTCAACTTACACCTCCTTTCATTTGGATTTTCATGGAACTGAGATTGTGCATCAAGGAGAATAATTGCTCGAAATAGTTCGGCTGAAGCAGGAGAAGAGTTGGCAGGGACTCCCTCGGGGGCGCCGGTTGCAGGGAGGGAGCATCTAGGCACTCGCGTTTCTTCATGTTCCTAGACATCCCTATTGAAATGTAAACCATCTGCAAAGTAAAAGACATACACAGGGTGCCCCAGAAAAAAATGTCAACCAGAAACACCTCCGGTCAAAATAAAATGATTTAGAAAAATCTATCTATATACAAAAATGGTTCCTTTAAGGGGGAAAACCACATTAGGAGATTGATTTTCAGATGTTTCTCATGAATTTTTTTGAGTGGAACAAATTGATCAGAATTTGATCAATCTTTGACATTATTTTATTAATATTTAGTCATTTGTGTTGAAATTACGAAGTTATGGGCTGTTGTCCACCGAAGGTCATCGTCTGAGTTAGTTGTTCACAAGAAATGTGGAGGTCGCAATTTTGATCTGAAAGCAAAATGATTGTTTTCCCCAATTATAATATGTTTTTCCAAAATATGACCTCATCGCGGGTAAAAATTGTGAAAATTGAAGTTTTAACACGTGTTTGAAAAGAAAGTATCGATTTTCACCACTTTTTTTTCACCTATTTTGAATAAAAAAACACAAAACAAAAAAAATTATGACATCATCCCAATCGTTGGTTCATGTTCTTTGTAATTTTATAAAGAAACACACTTTCAATTTTCATAACCATCAGTTCATAACTTCTTGAGCTAGAGTTCCTGTGAATCAAAAAATGTCGTTTGTTCTTTTCTTAATAAGTGACTAGACTACCTGAACAAGCACTCCGCCCTACCTGCTGTGCATTTGAGCGCTGCCCGATGGGCGTTTGGTTTTAGGCTCATAAAATCGGAACGAACAGGAATTTTTTTTTGACACTTTGGCAGCGTATTCTCGAATAATTCTAATAACAATTTATGTAATAAAAAAAATCCGATTTTTTAAACCTCCTAATGTAGTTTCCCCCCCTATATGCGAACCAATAGAGATTTTTTGGCATACTTAAATATTACAGTAAATTTTATGTATTACCCTTTGAAAAATAGTTAGTAAATGAAAACCCAAGTGATTTCCCCCAGCAAAATTGTGAACATTTTTTTTTAAACAATAAAAACTGCAAAAAAATTAATTTTTTTTTGGTTTTTTTATAATATCTCGGAAAAAAATAATGATGGAATGGTGTTACTCTCAATAGGACTATTGCAGAGAATAAAAAAACCTATAAAATAGTTTTTTGTGCGACCCGATCGATTCATTTTTTTACAGAGAAAATCCAGAAAAAAATCTAAAATAGACCTCTTTTCAAAAATTCATAACTTCATCAAATTTGAAGCTGGAAAAACAATCTTGCGGAAAATGACAGATATGTAGTTTAATCGTGCGCAAGATGGTTTCTGTGCGATGCATAACTTTTGCACAATTGCATTAGGGTCTTTTTTTGCACATCGTAGTGATTTATTAAAACATGGTCCGATTTAAATTCTGAAAACGGCATCTGAAAGTGGACGACAAAATCTCCAATTTCTATATCTCGGATTTTCACCTGGGGGATGGGAAATATGCTAAAAATGCCCTTGAAAGTCGCCCGAAACAATTGAAAGTAGGCTCGAGCCACGCTGTGCAAAAAAAGACCGTAATTTGTTTACAATGAAATTGTGCAAAAATGTGTACTATGCATCGGATAGAAACCATCTTGCGCACGATTAAACTACATATTATTATCTTTCATTTCCCGCAAGATTATTTTTCCAGCTTCAAATTTGACGGAGTTATGAATTTTTGAAAAAAGGTCTATTTTAGAGGTTTTTCCGGATTTTATCTGTAAAAAATGAACTAATCGGATCGCACAAAAAAATATTTTATAGGTCCTATTGAGAGTAAAACGATTACATCATTATTTTTCGAGATATTAAAAAAAAACAGAAAAATTAATTTTTTTGCAGTTTTTATTGTTTAAAAAAAAAATTGTTCACGACTTTGCTGGGGAAATCACTTGGGTTTTCATTTATTAAGTATTTTTCAAAAGGTAATACATGAAATTTACTATAATATTTACTTGTGAAATTTGGCCTACTAAAGAATACAGAATGTTAAACTAGATTTTTCAAAAAATATTTTTTCTTAATACATATCTCCAAAAAATTTTATTCTGAGGTTGCATGAAGGATATTGTTAAGTGTAAGTTTGTCTAAATCATTTTGTTTTTAATCGCAAGAGTCCATGGTCACCAGACTGGCCTTTTCTTGAGGCACTCTATACAAATAATGTAAATTATAAGAAATAATTTCACCTGGTTGTCTTTAAAACCCATTTCCGCTAAAGTTTTTTCATCACAGTCTATCGTTAACTCTTGGCCCTGCGTAATAATCCTAATCCAAGTATCACCGCCTTTAGTTTTGTTAGTATCGTTTTCCTCATTTTTCATCTAAGACGGGAAAGAAAAAGCATATGCAATAGCATTTTTTTTTAATTGTTGCATTTACCTGTTGCAGGCCCTCACACCACTTCACAATTTCAGCTCTCAGATCAGCGACATAGTCGGTATTCATCATATCCAGAAAACAACGTTCCGACGAACTACCGGATTGAACTATCAACCGAATCTGAGAACTAGATCTGTCTCCCAGTGCCGCAGAATGACTTCCAATACCTCTACCTTCCAACGCCCATTTTCTCAAATGATAAGCATACCTGCAAAATCATTTAGAGTAAAACCTCTATTTACGGACGTTTTTTAATAGCGGATACCCCTAAATAATGAACAATTTTGCTTCCATGGGATTTTACAATGGGGTTTTCTTAATATTACTATTTCTTAATAATGGACTCTATAAAATGGATGTGGCTTATTCAATTTTTTTTAAACGTCTAAATGAGGAAGAGGAGGATATAGAGGGTGTTTTTAAATGAAGTAGCAAAAATGGTACCAGTGAATGTAGGGCTAAAAATAAAAAGATTGAAGTAAAAATACCTTATATGAAAGATGCACCCCTGGGGCGATATACCCTCTTAAAGGAGGGGATTGAAATTCACATTTTAATTTTTTTCTTTAACATGAGGAATGCTAAAGACGCGAAGCTTGGTATGAGCATCCTACTAATAAAGAGACAACTTTTCAATATTTGTTCGATCATTGGCGTATTTTATAAAGGAGTGAAACAGTCAACCCCATTGTAATATTTTATACAAATAAACTGTTATTTATCATATTAATAAATTGACACTTTCTGTGAACCAATAATTAGTACCAATTGATTAATTTATTATCAGAATAATTATGGCAAATAATATTTATACCAACGACGAATATGTCGACATGCTTCAAGTGTTTTTCGAATCCAGAAAAAATAATAACGCTGCAGTAAGATTATACCACCGAAGGTATCCAAACCGACCGATTCCTCATAGACTAACATTGGCATTGGTGGAAAGAAGGCTTTGCGAAAATGGTAAAATTCAGCCCAATCGTGAGGGTGCCGGAAGAAAGCATAATGTCCGAACTGTTGAAACTGAGGAAACTATACTGGAACATCTAGAACAAGACTGTGGTACAAGCACAAGACAGGTGTCCAGGCAACTGCAAGCTTCTCACAGTATCGTGTGGAATGTAGCTCATGAAAATCTTTTATACCCTTTTCACCATCAACCTGTGCAAGAATTGAATAACCCTGATTTACCTAACTGCATGGATTTTTGTCAATGGTACATTAATATTTCCAGGCATGACTTAAATTTCCTAATGAATATACTTTTCACCGATGAAGCAAATTTTCCTAGAGTAGGTGCAGTAAACCTTCATAATGTTCATTCATGGTCGGAAGAAATTACTCATGAAATATTTGTTTCAAGATGTCAACATAATCAACACGTCAGGTGATGTGATACATGCACGATGGGGCACCTGCGCATAGTACACTTGCCGTTAGAGAATGGTTAAATTTAAATTAATTAATTTTAAATCGTTGGATTGGTCATGGCTGTGATGCCACCGTTTGTTGGCCTGCACGTTCACCTGACCTAATGCCTATGGATTTCTTTTTGTGGGGACACATAAAAAGTATTGTTTATGCCACTCCCGTTGCCTCCTTAGAAGAACTAAGCTTAATAATATTTCAGGCAGCAGATCACCTTTCACAATAACCAAGAACAGTTTGTGCGAGTGCGTTATAACATCAACAGACGTAGGTTATGCTTGTAGCAGAATGGAAATTATTTCAGTTCAGTTCCATAGTCATAAGTTATCAAACATTTTTCATTAATTAATAGCAAATTATTCTTATGTTATTATTAAATTACCAGCTTATTGACAAGTGTCAATTTATTAATATGATAAATAACAATTTATTTGTTATGACATCCGCCTACTTTATTTTTACAAATTTTCGCAATTACCCCTTTAGTGAAGGATGACACGTCTAATTTTTTTACTAGAAAACTATCGGTTTTATCGAAAAATTACAAGAGGTAAAAAAGTTGCGCAATAAATCAGTCTGCTCAATAAATATTTTTAAATAATTTGCCTCATATAAAAAATTTCTAATAAAATATTGCAATGGGGTTGACCGTTTCACTTCTTTATAAAATACGCCAATGATCGAAAAAATATTGAAAAGTTATATCTTTAGGATGCTCATACCAGGTTTCGTGTCTCTAGCATTTCTCATGTTAAAGAAAAAAAATTAAAATGTGAATTTCAATCCCCTCCTTTAAGAGGGTATATCACCTCAGGGGTGCAACTTTCATATAAGGTATTTTTACTTCAATCCTCTTATTTTTGGCTCTACATTCATTGGTGCCATTGCTACTTCATTTAAAAACACCCTGTATTGTTTATACTATTATTATATTTTTATGCATTTTGATAATTATGTAATATGCTTTATCTTAATACAAATAGTAAATAAAATAAGAATTTTTTTTTCATTATTTACCACTAAATGACATGGGTCAATGGGTGTCCACTATTAGGTTATACTGTGGCTGTGTTCAGCGAATGATCGGACTAGTTCGCTCAAATTTCTTTAGTCAAACAATTCGCCGAACGGGCTTGTATTAACTGTATTAAAACCTGCCCAATATTCCCAATCAGTTGATTGGGCTGACCAATGAAATATTTGTCCGCTAAACGACTTTGACCGATCCGACCATTCGCTGAACACACCCTGTATCTGCAAACCTAATAAAAAGAAAGAAATGTACCTTCTTCGAAACGTCTCAATGTGTGTTTTCATCAACAGCAAAGCTCTCTGAATGCACAACAAAGAGGCCTCCTCTGTCCCAGACATATTCGAGGTTAAATCGTCGGAGGCCGCCTTCAAATGAGTCATGCACTGCCAAACAAACTGACCCTCGTGTTGCAGGTTTTGGCCCATGTAATAGCTGTTTATGTACTGGATCGCTGCCATGCTCACATCTACAATTGTTTTCAACGACACCTTACCGACTTATACATACAAAACACATCGTTACTTACCGGTATTGCAAGCGCGGAGCGCTATTTTCCACATATGATCCATCCCGACGTTTTGGCTGTCTTTGTTGACATCGCCTTCCATATTGGCAGTCAATAAGTGGTTCAAGCTGCACAGCTGCTGAAATAAACTGAGGCATATCATGCTGAACTTCTCCGGTGCTAGGCTAGGTAGATGGTGGATGTATAACCTTCGAAGAGCATCGATTTTAAGTGCGTGTAGTTCCGTTGTTTTAGTTTGGGACAGCAACCAGCTAAATAACTCATCCGAACATTCAGGGTCATTCGCCAGACATCCCCAAAGGATATCTACTTGCTCGGTGCTCAATCTAAGAATATTTTTAATTCAAATCTTAAGTATCCCACTTCTGATTGCTTAAGAATCAATAACATTCTGACCTACAATTAGTTACACTTACTTGAATGTGTTTGGTGAAACAACGGGAGAGAAAACGGCAGACAAAAAGTGTAGACGGACTTGGACCTGCACCTGATGAGTATAAAGTGGCAAAGATTTGCTAGGGTTGGCCGAGTAGGCCTTGAGGTTATTGAAGAAATGTGTCATCATGTGATGCTGCCTATCGGCCCAGTGAGTTACATGATGCATATCGAGACCACGGAAAGATGTTAGAAGTTTCGGAAGCATTCGCAAAGACACCACGACCGAACTAAAAAAAAATGTCACAATTAAAAACAAAGCGATTTTATAAATCGACAACATACACGTTATTGGCTAGATTATTCAGACACCCCTCGATGAATTTCATCCTGATTTCTTTATCCGGAGTGTAGCAAATGAGATTGCACAGCGTTTTCTCCGCTTCTAAAGCTAGGCCTTCGCCCAACTGGCACTAAAAAATTTAATAAATATTAATATTTATAACAGGTTGTATAAAATTTCGTTTACTTACTATTTTATCGTCTTGCAGCAAATCCCACAATAACGTGTTACCGGGTTGGCAAACATTATCGGCTTTGAAACATGCTGACAATCTGTGATCCACTCTTATTGGAGATTTCTCAGGAGAGTGGGCCAGAACGTGAAGATTCATGTTAGCCTAGATGTGACGGTAAAGAAAGTTGTGATATAAATAAACTAATTTCAGGCATAAATACAGGTATACTGTATTTTAAATACTATTTTAATACGACAAAAGTATGTGTAATCGTCAGGTAAAAGGAAAGTATGAAGTTTGTCTATGTTTTAAGTGTCTTTCTATCTAACAATTAAAAGCAATATTCAGATAATTGCAGTTATTTGGCAAGACCCTTCTTAATACGTTTAACATAAGAAATATAATGAAAATTGCTTTTAATTTTTAGTTGGGTAAATTTAGCTATATCCAGTGGCCAGCTAATAGCCCTGATTTAAGTCGTCTGAATACATTTTTGCAGGGTTACCTTAAAAAACAAACTTTATGAAATGGAACTGCCAAATCTTCAAGATATTCATAACAGAATAACTTAAGAAATAGAATTAATAAGAATGATGAAATAATGGCAAAAACAATAAATAAATAAAACACATTTATAAGATGCATAGAACAAACTGATGGCCATTTTGAACATTTATGTAAAACATCAATAAAATTTCTCAATTTCATTTACATACTTTTTTCATGATGAAAAGGACGAAATTGAACCAAAGTATTACTCAAATAGTACTCAGTATTACTCAGTCTTGCACACCAAATATTATTAAGGTGGATCTTTCATGTAAAATATCTCCGCCCCCTCCCTGTAGATTTATGGTTCTTCAAACAGAGACAGGAGAAATTAGTTTTTATTGTATTATTTAAATATGGAGAAAGTTACAAAAATGAAATTACGTACATATTGGCAGTTATTGAATAATTTCTTGATTTAGTCGACTACAATGACATAGGCCAACATTTGCAGAAAATGACGTAATATTTGCAGAAAATATCAAAATTAGTACCACACTTGCAAGCAAATGCAAAAAGTGCAAATACAATTGCAAAAACTGCAAATAATTGCAGAATTTTACATACATTTGCAAACATTTGCATAATATACACTAAAATTACATATATTTATATTACTCTACAAATGTTCGTCACATGGAACAGAACGAAAAAATCATTAAAAAAAATGGTAAGAAAGTTTTCAAAGCAATAATTGAAATCTGTTAATAAATATGCAAACTGCCTCGTGTAGAAATATCAGACCAATTGCCAACGAAGTTTTTTTGAAAAATGATATTAAAAATTATGCTTTTATACACAGGCTCTTATGGGAGTTGGGAAAAAACATTCATCAAATGTGAATATTGCTCTTACAAATGGTTAGGATCGGGAAAATAAAATTGTAATTAAAGAATTAAATATTACTAAACATTTTAAAACAATAAAAATATGCACTTAAAATGTAATTATTGATATAATGAAATGAATAGAAAATGTTTTGACACAAAGAACAAACATCTGATCCAATGAAAGGAAATATGGCAACGTTGTACACTATATTTAACACTTTGACTGATGTGCTATATTTGAATAGCTCGATTATACGCTACAAAATTAATCCAGTCGAAAACATATGTAGCAATAATTAATACTAAATAATTTTTTTGTGATCTAATGCAATGTAATGCAATTTAAACAAAAATTGAAAGGATCTCTTTGCAAAACGAGCAGTTTAGATGTTCTGTCATAACCGTCAATTTGACAAGGCCACGTGTCACTACCATACACTGAGCTTCTTGATAGTTATCACATAGATTCTCGGTTTGTACATTTCACTTTTTTCTCATCAATCCATATTCTATTAGTTTCATACGCCTTTTATATTGCTTTTCAGTCAATACTTTTCCTTTGTATCTTGGATGTTCATTCATATTTACTATATACGCGTTAAGCACAGTTGTTGACAGTTGATCGAACTTTTACCAACCACGCCATGCTGATATGCAATGTAGACAGATTTCACCCATAGTTTTACAAGCTCATAATGAATAAATAGACACTTTAACCACAAGTTAATTGCGGTGCATTAAACACAAAAAATGTATGCGAGCTAATATGTGTTGAATAAATTTCAGTCGCATACATCATATTGTCCCTCTTATCACGTAGGGGCGTATAATCCAAGAAATGGATATACACATTCACCTCTACGTGATAATAGGGACGATATTTAGTTCGTTCAAATTAGTTTATGCAAGGTTGGTAATACAACAAAACTCCCGTGTATAAGTATAGGCTTCCTTCCCGCACCGCTTGAATGAAAACTTGAATTAAAACAATAATTTAACATTGAAGGCACTAAACTCAAAACTAAATTAACTGCAACTCTGCTAAAGAATTTACGGAACTGAGCTAGCTGAATTTTGAATTCAGGAACTGAAGTGAACTGAATTCAACGAATTCAGAAACTGAACTGCCAAAAATTAGATTTTGATTGTATTTATGCTGTTTTACACCATAAGAACCCATGTAAAAAAAAGAATTGTGTCGCAAATAAACAATTTTCTAGGGGCTCATGCCTTTAGCCAATGAGAACTCAGAATTTGACGAGTATAAATATGTGTTCCGATACTTTAATGAAAATTTCGGAAATATTATTTTATGTTAAGATCTGCCTCCCTCAAGTCTACAACAATATGCCGTAACTGGTATTGAATTACATCGGTAGCTGATTTCTGCAATATCAGCACTTAACATTTGCTCTCGTCCACATAGCGGTGACACTTTTCATAGACTGTAGTTATTTCTTTCAGTGTTCAGTAACAGTGGTGTTTGTGTGTCTTCATTCCTAAATTCCTGTTGTGACACACTAATGCAAAAATTTAAATGGACAAAAGAATTTCTGAAATTTATCTGTGATTTTTGACAGACTGTATTTAGGTGAAAAATGGTCGTATCGGGAATTAAAAAGAGCATTTTGAAGCTCTAAGATTCTAGTTTTTAGTTTTGGTCGAAATTTTTTAGGAGCTACGGTTATCATGCAATTCTAAGAAATAGCGTGACTTGGTCAAATTTTTTTCGGCTAAGCCGTTGCATGGACCAGATAGCTTGTTTATTCAGCTTCAATTTCCTTTTTTTTTAAATTTCTTTACGACCATTTTTCATCGAAATATCGGACTTTTAATGGAAAAGGATCCTTTTGCCTTTAATCATCGATATCTCGTCAACAAATCGTCGTATAGAGAATTGAAGGGAAGTGAAGACTGGAATAAATTTCCTATAACAGGCTGCCACATTTTTTTCATCTTTTACACGAATTTTAAATAACAGGAAAAAAGGGTAATTTATGGTTTTTTAGAAAATAAACGGTTAAATAAGAAATATTCATGTTAAGCATGACTTTTACAGTTCTGTATCCCCAGAAAACCCTGTGAAGTTTCATCTCGATGTAGCAAACCGTTTCTTTGTTTCGAAGTCAAACTTTTGAAAAAAATTAAAGGGTCACGTTTTTTGAGCTTCATAAGCATGACTAAAATGAAAAACAATTTTTTTTTTAGGTTTTCTCACATTTGTACCGCAAACTGATGAAAAAATTTTTTATTTTTTTTCGGAGAAGAAAAGTAGTTTTGAAAAAAAAACGATTTTTAAGTGATTACAAACCGCACAAAAATTAATTAAAAATTTGTTTGAAAAAACGGTATGAATCGGGGTCGAAATCTGGTTTGGGTAAACTTTAATTTTAATTTAATTAAAAGTTGATGAACAGAAACATAGGACGGAAAAGACGGATCATGCTGGAAACAATTGGACTTTGTGTTCTTCAATGTCCAGAAGGTTATCCATAAAAACAAAAAATTTTGTTCGAAAATTATTTTTTTTCAATTTGAAAAAACCTTAAAAAAAATTTTTTTCCGGTTTAATCATGACTATGAAGTGTTTAAGCTCAAAAAATGTGACCCTTTAATTTTTTTAGAAAGTGTTTGAAACAAAGAAACAGTTCGTAGATCGAGATAAAACTTCACAGGGTTCTTCTGGGTATATCGAACTGTAAATGTCATGCTTAACATTAGTCATTTCGTGAATATTTCTAATTTAGCCGCCAATTTTTTAAAAAACCATAAATTACCCTTTTTTCCTGTTTTTCAAAATTCGTGTAAAACACGAAAAAAAAAAAATTTCCGAAAAGTTGCGGGAAAAGGAAATTTATTCCAGTTTTCAAAACTGTCCTGCAATTCTCTGTACGACCATTTGTTGCCGAGATATTGATGATTGAAAACAAAAAAATCCTTTTCCATTAAAAGTCCGATATTTCGATGAAAAATGGTCGTATCGAAATTTAAAAAAAAGGAAATTGAAGCTAAATAAACAAGCTATCTGGTCCATGCAATGGCTTAGCCGAAAAAAAATTTTTTCAAGTCCATGGTATTTCTTAGAATCGCATGATAATCGTAGCTCCTAAAAAAATTTGACCAAAAGATCTAAAAACTAGAACCTTAAAGCTTCAAAATGCTGTTTTTTAATTCCCGATACGACCAGTTTTCACCTAAATACAGTCTGTCAAAAATAACGGAGAAATTTCGGAAATTCTTTTGACCCTTTAATTTTTTGCACTAGTTTATTACGAAAAAAGAAAGATGAGATTTCACATGATTACATGCCATATTTTGTGCAGTTGTTTGAGGTTACACTAGTCTGTTCAGCAGTGGGGTATGAAAATTGAAAATTACGAGAAAAAGGTTAGAAACAAAATTCAGTTTTCATGACGGAATTTGAAGTCAAAACTTCAGTATAAATATGACTCCCATTAAAAATTACATCCTGTATAAATCTAAAAAATACATTACACTTACATGGTCTGCCAACCTTGCCAATTCCTCTTCACACACGGAGTCCTCGCCGTCGAAATCAGCCATGTTCTTCTCCGATTTGTTGCTCATCCTGGACGAGTAGCTACCTTCCGCGTCGCCCTCCACTTCCGCCTCCTCGCCGCTTAGCATTTCCAGGATGTGTCTAGAAATAAATCTGTTTAAAAATGATTTTATATTAAAGCACGGCAGGTCACCTCAATGAATCTTTAGGAAAAACGTTAATACACAAAAGCTATTAGTAATTAAGACTCTGAGTACGAGGTACAATATAAAAAACAACAATTTAACGTAATTGATATTTACCCCGCTCTGGTGTGTAGGGTCAGGAAATTTGCGCAAGTCCCTTCGTGGCCTTCGAGCGTAACGGATTCTTTGCCAAGTTCACTGCAAGAAGAGCTTTCTTCCAAGTACACAGTAGGCTTAAGATTTCTAATAAAAAAGTTCAATGTTAGTACAGCTTAAAAATGTCTACAAAATGACCCCGGATGTAATATGGTGAGAATAACTTCAAATGAAATTAAGCCTTTGAATTTTTTGGAAAAGTATGCAAATGGGTTGATTTTATAAAAATTTTAAAGCTGTATGACATAAAATAACTAATATTTTTTATGATGTAAATATGTTTTTTGGCACATAAGATACGATAATATCATGTAGAAGTTACAAGTTTTTAATCTTTTCAATTTGGGTATTAAGATATACAAAAATGTGTTTTTTTTACACTAGGTATCTACTTTGACTTTTACAAATGAATCGGTGAGTGAAGTAGTAGTAGTAGTAGTAAAGGGGCGGCCTCAGCCTGGCAATTAGGCCACAAGTGGGCCCTTTTTGCCCACCCCGCCGTCCCATCACCTGACCACTCTCTGCCTCTGACCCTCCTCGAACCTACCCGACGCCCTAATGAATGCCAGGATTTTGGTCCATGGAAGGTCTCTCACCTCAGCCCCTTGCAGCTCTTCAGCACCAAAGACTTTATGTCTTATTCTCCCAAAGGCTGCACACTGTCCCAGAAGGTGGACAGGGGTGTCCTCCCCTTCGCCACATTTCGGGCATAGAGGGTCCTCCTCAATTCCTATTAAGCTTAAATGCCTCCTAAGTCTGCAGTGGCCTGTCAGAACCCCCACCATTTGGTTTAGGGCTCTTCGACTGAGGCTCAGCAGCCATCTTGTCTTGGATTTGCTAGGTCCATGTATAAAACTATGGGCCTGCCTGCATCCTCTATTTCTCCTCCAATCCAGACCTAAAGTTTGATAGGCCCACTTATTGAGGGCCCCATTAATGCTGCCTCGTGTGATACCTAAGATTGGTTCAGGTCCCTGTCCAGGTCCCCTGGACCCAAGACGAGCTAATTGATCCGCCCTCTCGTTACCAGGGATGCCCCTATGGCCTGGGACCCAAACCAACTCTACTTCTTTTCGTCTGGCCAAAGACTCTAGAGCGTCTCCACATTCTTGGACAAGGGCAGACCTAGTCCTCGGGGAGCTAACCGCTCTGAGCGCGGCCTGACTGTCGGAGCAGATAAAAATCTTCTCCTCTGCACAATTCCTTACCTCCTCCTTGCTTGCTACCATCAAAATAGCAAAAACCTCAGCCTGGAAGACTGTAGCATACATACCCAGTGAAAAGCTTTCCTGGATGCCGCTGCCTTCCAGATAAATTCCTGCTCCTGAAAACTCGTCTTCTACCCGAGATCCATCAGTATAGCACACTAGGGATCCCGGGGAGAACATATCACCTTCCTGCTTCCACTGCTCTCTCGAGGGGAAAGTGGTGACATACTTCCTTCCTAACCTAAGCCGGTCCTCTGCTTCCGTAACCCTCATGGCGGATATTGGGATGTCCCTCTCCGCCCTGAGGGCCACGGAAGCATGACCCTCAGTGCGTCCTTTAGCTCTCCAACCACCGGCGTCCCTTATCCTAAGGTATGCCGCCATCGCCTCCCTCATAATCCATGTAGGAAGGGTCGGCAGCCCCAGAAGGACCTCTAACGCGGCAGTTGGGGTCGTCCTCATTGCCCCTGTAATACCTAAGCAGGCAAGTCTCTGGATTCTCACCAACTTCCTGGCTACCGTCACCCGGTCCACACACGGCCACCAGACCAAGGCCCCATACTGTAGCCTCGGCCTAACCACCGCCGTGTACACCCAGTGAAGCACCTTTGGATTGAGTCCCCAGTTTTTGCCAACTACCTTCCTTAACTGCCAGAGGGTTGCCACTGATTTCCGGGTAATCCTCTCAACCTGTGGCCCCCACGACAGTTTGCTGTCCAGTATTACTCCCAAGTATTTGACTTCTCTGACCAAAGTCAGGGGCCTCCCATACATGGTTGGAGCCCTGAAATTCGGTGAGTGAAAGTACAAGTGCCAAAAATGGCAATTTTAACTGAGATAGCCCAAACCGCTTAAAATTCATAGGCCTATCGCATATCGAAAGAACAGTACATCGACTAACATCCGACAGCATTCAACTTAATTTATGGCTGAGTGAAAGAACAGTACAAGTGCGGCGCATGTACCGCTCTTCCACCCTCCCACCATAAATGTGTCGTAGACTTATACAAATTTGACAGATGAAAATAAGGAATCATTTGTTAGTCGGCAGGCATTGGTACTGGACGTATTATTTTTAGTGGCAACAAGTGTTTTTTTACAACACAATATTACAAACTGTCTGATACGAGTAGTGATAATGATAAAGAGGTCCTTAAAAAAACGAAAGAAGCAACCTGATAAATGGCGGCAAAACAAAAGAAAATTGGCTCGCCTTAGAGGTGAAGAGTATGTTAATACATCAGGGAAATCTATACCTAAGAAAATGGTTGGAGACATAGAGTAAATTACTTATACATAACTTTTTTTAGCTCCAGTGACAAGTGCACCGAACATATAACGCGGAATGAAAAAGAAGCTATATTGTCCAAGTTATTAGAAATGAAAAGTAAAGATCTACAGGATACTTACCTTATGGGACTCATGGAAATAAATCTTGTAAAAGGCGACGAAAAAGTAGCAAAAACTGTGCAAAAACTGCAACATTTTCATACTGGATAAGTCAGCAAGGTAAAAGAAAACGTTTATGTAAGAAAGCATTTCTTAGATTGCATGCTATTTCCTATTCTCGTCTGCAAAGATTAATAAGCTCCTAAGAGAAGGAACTACGCCAATAGATTTACGAGGCAAACATAACACGCATCGACATGTACTTCCATTTGAAGTTACTGCTAAGATAAAAGACCACATTGACTCATTTCCTTGTAAAATATCACATTACTCCAGTAAAAAGACAGTACATCTCGATAGCAGACTAAATGTCAAAACTATGAACAAACTCTTTGTAAAAAAATGGCCAAACCTTAATGTAAAATACGAGTACTACCTGAAATATTTTAACGAAAATTATTCTTTAATGTTCGGAAGACCTGAAGTAGATGTTTGTAGTGAATGTGAACGTTTAGGAACATTTTTGAAAGACACCAATCTTAATGATAATGCAAAAAGAGTACATGCTGCTGAACTTATTGTCCATAAGTGTTGAGCCAAAATTTTTTCGCGACTTGAGGCCATAACAAAATTATGCAAAGAAAGAGAAGATGTGTGTGGAATATCTTTTGATTATATGCAAAATCTACCTTCGCCCAATATATCGTCCAAGAAATTTTTTATTTTCGTCAGTAGTGGGTTTGTGCTTTCCAGGTCCATAACTTAAAAACCAATAAAGGGCATTTTTACATGTACCAGGAAGGTGAGGCTCATAAAGGTCCTGATGAAGTGTGCAGTTTTCTTTTGCATTATATAGAAAACAATATACCACCAGAAGTTAAGGAACTTTACCTATTTTGTGACGGATGTCCTGGGCAAAATCGCAACAACACAATGGTATGATTTTTAATGACTCTCACAGCTACGAAGCGTTTTACGAAAATTGTTCATTACTTTCCTGTCCGTGGCCATTCCTTTTTTCCCTGTGATAGGGATTTTGGAAGTGTTAAAAGGGTGATAAGAAAAGCTGATTGCATATATCTTCCCGAAGAATATGAGATAATGATACTAAGTTTGCGAAAGGTGTTGCCATTTACACTTACGACTATAAGTTATACTGGTGGCCACAATATTATAAAAAACTTCCAAGTCAACTGATCCACAAAAAGTATAGCCAGTTTACATACGTTAGTGATACTCCAGGATATGTTACTACAAGGGACTTCATAGGTGGTGTTATGTCACAGACTTTTAAACTAATCAAACCTAATGCCAATCCACAATTACCATTAGAAAAGGCGTACCCTGTTCCTATTAACGAAAAAAAAGATAGCCGATTTGAAGAAACTTATACCCTACCTTTGTGATGAAACCCTTGAATTTTACTACCATATTACTTCTTGGAAAGTAAAAAATCAAGACTATGAATAAAAATTACAAATAAGTTTGTTAAATGGTCAATAAAACTATAAAAAAATAATTTTTTAAGCATTTTTTTTTTTTAATTGAGTGTAAGAACAGTATAACTGCAAGTTGTTTTTTTCATATCCTTTTTGTATACTATACCTAACCTAACCTATAATTCTCCTTTAAAACAGATTTTTTTTTTGTTTTTCTCGAAATGGTCATTTTGGAGACGTATTATTCTTACACTCACCGATTCAAATATATTTGAGGAAAACTAGAATGTAAGCAAAAATTTAGATACCATGAAAATACTTCAAGTAGAATTTCAGCAATGTAATAAAAAAGACATTGACTTACGGATCAACCAAGTTATTAATTGGCGATGGCAATACCAAAGTAGTGACGCCTTTCAGGGTGCCCTTAATGTCATGGTCACTGTCCACATCCAACTCACTCAACGTTTCAATAGCTGCTATTCTCGTAACGCGTCTGTGATTGCCTGAAACACGAAATAAACTATAGTTTAACGCTCCTTCCCAATTGACGTGCCTCTAACCTTTCTGCCTTTTAACTCTTGTCTTGCGAAGCATCTTCCTCCTTTTCCTCAACTTAGAAGAAGGATCATCTACTTCGGCCTCATCCTGGGAAGTGCTAGAAGCGATGGCCTCGACTCCGTCTGGGAAAACATTCAGACTGGTGAGAATTTTCTTACGAACGTGCGCACGTTTGTCACCCTTGGATTTAGGGGTGCCACTGGGCCACTTCACTTTGGGGGGACTCTTGATCGGGACACCTAAACAAAATTTATTGTATATTTACGACTGCTTGCGAAAGTTAAATGAAACAAATATAGTAAAATAAAAACTATAACGGACAATAAATTAACACAAAAAATGTATATACAATTAAGTAGCAAGGCACGTTTTCGTCGAATAAAATTGTACACATTAATGAAAATAATAGAGAAATTATTTTTAAGAAAAAAGTTTTATATGAATTTTGGTCATAGTGCTGAAATTGGAAAAAAATATCAGATTATCTGAAGTATTTCAGAGGATATTTGATGTAGACTGAGGAAGCTTGGGTCGTTGATTTTATCTAAGTAGGTGTAAAAATCCACTAAGGTGACTTAAAAATAGGTTAACCAGTAAGAGAGAGTAAGAACAAAGTGTCAGCATCACTAGGAGCTAGGAGTCTCAGAACTTCAACGTCAATGAGTATTCTGCAAATTTAATTTGTTCTTTTTATTACAAATGAAATTTATAATGTTATATTTTCTTCAAAGAATGAACCGTTTTAAAGTTCAGATTTTTTTTAACATTAACGTTAAAACACAGTTAAGTCAATCGAAAATAAGTTTACCAGAATTTTTTGTTAAGAATACCTACAATTCGGAAAACAATTTTATATACAACATAATGCGTACAAATTTCAAAAAATTATTGGCATAAAAATTTTTTATTTTATTTAAAAATATCAACATTTCTAACCAATGATTTTTTGAAATTTTGACATTGAATTTAAAATTGTATTTCTAATAAAAAATTTTCATAAACTGTTTCTGTAGAACAAACAGTTTTAGAATTATTTTCAATTTACTTAACTGTATTGTAAACTCATTTTAATAAAAAAAAAAAAAATCTGAATTCTTCGAGGATGTAACAAATCTTTGTCCATATAAATTTCATTCTGATTTCATTCTGAGGCTCCTAGTAGCACTGACTCCTCACATGTGACTGTAAAATGACATTCTTTTTCTAATTTCAATACTTTGTATCTCAAACATTAAGCGAGCTGTCCCACATTCTTATGACACTGCTTAAAATAATTTGTTCTATGACCCCTTTAAAGTTTGAAGGAGAGCACTTATTTCAAAAATGTTTTGCATATCAAAAGAATTACACCCATAATTTGTTAGCACAGACATGAAAAGAACCAATTTCCTCTGGTAGCAATAAGAGGAACATGAAATTCAATTCTGGACAGCAGGTAGGAACAAGATTAGGGTTTCTGATTTCTCGGACTACTATTTTTTCGGGACTCGAGAATTCTCGACTAGGAATTCCCGGGAATTCTCGAATTCTCGAGAAATTTCTAAAACTTAAAAAAGTAATAATTTTGGTATTGCAACGCAAAATATAAACATGCTATTATACTTAATAATCATCATTAACATTTATTATTTATTCAGTATTTTTATTAATTACTTATATGTTTCTACTTCTACTAACAAAACTAAATTAAACTTTGAGTATTTTCTTCTTAAAAACCTTTAACTTGTTTTTTTATTAAACACTTTCATTATACTTATGTTTATTTCAATGGTTTTGAATCGTAGCTTTCTTCCAATAATTATTAGTAATCATTAATCATGCAGTCTTTTAATTAAACAAATAGTAAATAAGGAATTTAACCGAAGAAATCTTATAAAAAAAAAAAACAAGCTTTAATTTAAAGATACAGAAGCGTTCTTCCTATTAATTTATCACTTATAATCATAATCTTTTAATTAACAAAACAAAAATAAAATAATCAATTAAAGGAACAGGAACTAAATATTTTCAGAATCAACATCAACATTAGGTATCTGCTTATAACAAAATTTCTACACAGATTTATAACAAGGTACATTAAAAAAATAAGAATCGTCAAAGTAAACTAAAGCCTTAAAAACTTAAAATAAATAAATCATGAGCTAGTCGCGAAACCACTTTAACTGCTCAGTTATTTGTCGAGAAACGAATTGAACGCATGAACGAAACGAACTCCAATCAAGAATTTCTCAATTTCTCTACACTTTTTTCTCGTCTCGAGTAAGGCCACATTTTCCGGGAATTCTCGCTTCGAGAAGTCTCGACCAGAAACCCTAA